GCCATGAAAATGATGGAAATTGCAGAAAACCCCACCTCTGCTCACCAAGGGGAAAGAACTCCAGCCTACACCACAGGGACGGTGGATGCCTCAGATGACAGCTCGGAAGGCGAACCCCTGGTAAGTGGACTCATCACACCCATCTTCAAAACAGTGACTATATTAATCCCCCCCATGCCCGAAGCTGTGAAGGTGAAAGCCTTAATAGACTCTGGCTGCACCCGCTGCCTCATTAGCCCAACACTAGTGGGGAATCTGGGCATCCCATCCAGGAGACTGGAACAACCAATCTCATTTGTCCAGCTAGATGGATCCATAGCAGGGGGGGTGCCAGCTACCCTAGCCACTCTGCCAATACACCTCTCCCTGGGCAACCATGAAGAGGACTTAACGTTTGTGGTGACCCCAGGTATGGAATGCCCAATGATTCTAGGGATGGAATGGTTGAAAAAATGGAACCCCTGGGTAAATTGGAGGACGACAGAAATCAAATTCCCGAAGGGGGACCCTATGGACTTAAAACCCCAAGAGAGGCTACCAGAATCAAGAATAGAAAAAGCATCCATAGGAGAGGAAAAAAGATTAACAGAAATACCAGAGGAATATAGGGACCTTGCTGAAGTCTTCAGTGAGGAGAGGGCGAATGAGCTTCCCCCCCACCGACCCACAGACTGTACCATTGAATTCAAGCCTGGGGCAAAACTCCCGAAACCCAGATTATACTCCATGAGCCCAAAGGAGAAGGAGGAAATGGAAAGATTTATAAAAAAAAACCTGGAGAGAGGTTTCATTGAACCAGCTAAGCCTAAAGTGGCTGCCCCGGTCCTTTTTAGAGAGAAGAAGGATGGCTCTTTACGTTTATGCGTGGATTATAGGGCCCTGAACACAATCAGTGAAAGCAACCTATACCCGCTGCCCCTCATGAAAGACATGCTGTCACACCTATCGAAAGGGAAATTTTTTTCTAAACTAGACTTAAGGGAAGCTTACTATCGCGTGAGAATCAAGGAAGGGGACGAATGGAAGACTGCATTTAACTGCCCCATGGGGTGCTATCAATTCAAAGTCTTGCCATTTGGATTACAAGGGGGCCCTGCAGTCTTTATGCAATTAATCAATGACGTTCTAAGGGAGCACCTGTTTAAGGGGGTCCTTGTTTACTTGGACGACATTCTTATCTTTACCGAAACAAAAGAAGAACACGTCAAACTTGTCAGAGCGGTTTTAAAGAAGCTGCGAGCCGCTCACCTATATGCCAAACTCTCAAAATGCGAATTCCACCAGGAAAGGATAGACTACCTAGGCTATCGCATATCCCCACAGGGCATTGAAATGGACCCAGAGAAGGTCAGAGCAGTATTAGAATGGGCACCACCCCGCACAAGAAAGCAACTACAAAGTTTCCTGGGCTTTGCAAATTTTTACCGCCAATTCATCCCCTCATTTGCACAGATAGCCTTGCCCCTCACCAACTTACTAAAAACGAAGGGAACATCCTCAGTAAAACCTAGCCAGCCACTAACATGGACAATGGAGTGCCAAGCAGCGTTTGAGAGACTAAAGAGACTTTTTTCTGCCGAACCAGTACTAAGGCACCCAGATATGGACAAGCCCTTCATAATACAGGCAGATGCAAGTGATGTGGCAGTGGGGGCTGTGCTATTACAAGAAAATGATGATGCAGTATTGCAACCCTGTGCATATACATCTAAGAAACTCACGGAAACAGAACAGCGCTGGCCCGTATGGGAGAAGGAGGCTTATGGGATACGTTGGGCATTACTCACGTGGCGACAGTTCCTGGAAGGCAACAAAATCCCCTTCCAGGTATGGACTGATCACAAAAATTTAGAAGCCCTGAAAACTCCCAGGAAACTCAATCCCAAACAAGCCCGCTGGTCCCAGCATTTTCACCAATTCCAATTTAAGCTCAAACATTTACCAGGAAGAAAGAACTTCCTGGCAGATGCACTATCTCGCATGCCCCAATATAACAGCGCACGAACCACAGACTCTAGACCAATAATGGCAGAATCACAACTGGCAGCGCCAGTAACCACAAGAACCCAAGCCAAAATAAAACCACAACTGGACAGCCAAACTGGGATTGAATTCAGAAAAAGTTTGGAAACAGATGATTGGTTCCAGAAAAACAAACATGTGTGCACAATGAGAGACGGATTGCCTTGGGTAGGGGAAAAGTTATATATACCAACAACTCAAAGACTAACTTTCATGCAACTTTGCCATGACACAAAATCAGCAGGGCATTTTGGATTTGTAAAAACTTTACACTTAATTAAACGGCAATTTTGGTGGCCATCAATAAAAAAGGACATAGAAAGTTATGTTGCCAGCTGCCCAACCTGTGCATCAGCAAAGAGGTTGCAAGGGAAATCGCCAGGGCTGTTACAACCAGTGGCAAGTCCCTCAGCCCCCTGGAGGGAAATAGCCATGGATTTTATAGTGGAATTGCCTGAAAGCAATGGGAATACTGTTATCTGGACAGTCACGGACCTATTTTCCAAACAGGTACACTTTATCCCTTGCCAAAAAATTCCCACTGCAAAGGCCTTAGCAAAACTTTTTATCCAGCACGTTTACAGATTGCACGGGGCACCCCAACGCATCATCTCTGATAGGGGAGTGCAATTTACGTCTACATTTTGGAAGGAATTTTTATCCCTCTTAGGGACCACTCAGGGACTGACATCTAGCCATCACCCTCAGACAGATGGACAAGCGGAACGCTGCCAGTCGGTACTTGAGCAATATTTGAGATGTTTTTTAAATTTCCAACAGAGTGATTGGACGGACTTACTTCCTTTTGCAGAAGTTGCCTACAATAATGCAGTCCACTCCAGCACAGGCTACACTCCTTTTCAAATACCATGTAGTGGTTAAATAAATTCTTGTAGCTTAGATATAGTAGCCCTATAATAATACATACAAAGTGCTTTAAATAGTTGGAAGCAATGCAAAGTGTACAATTTTGTCAACCTTTGAAAACCAGCTCCCTTCAGTAAAATGGCATCTTTGACCATTTGATAAAATGTTACTTGTTTAACGAAAGTATTACAGCTAAAAGAAGCAACTGTTAGTGTTTCTCATTCTCAGAAATCCAAGCGACCTCTTCTGCTGAAATACAGGCAAACGCCTTTAAAAAGCCAAAAAGAGGTTTGATTATGGATGTGTTTCAGATGTGCAGATGGAATGAATTAATTTAAACAAAACTACAATATTCTAAAATAATGCAGCCTCTAAGTTTATCAGAAGCACAGAGCTCTGATCATAAATCTCCCGATGTGGCTGTCCCGACATGCTTAATTGTTGACTTTGCACATTTTAAAAAGTGGATAAAAATCTATTTTTCTGATTACACTTCTGTATAGACCGAATCTTACCAAGTTGATACTCCTCCAACAGCATGGCCACAACTCATTTGGCACATTATTCCATGTGGTTTTAATTCTAGAATCCAGAATGTTCTAGCATTTTCCAAAGTATCTTCTACAAAACAACAAAACAGTAGTGTATTGAGACCCAATTAAGCCTCTTCCACCAGGAAGGTTCATTCAATTGAAAGCTAGAATGTAAACATCATCTAAGCAAGGGGTCTTCAAACTTGGCCCTTTTATGACTTGTGGACTTCAACTCCCAGAATTGCTCAGCCAGGCATGCCTGGCTGAGCAATTCTGGGAGTTGAAGTCCACAAGTCATAAAAGGGCCAAGTTTAAAGACCCCTGATCTAAGCTCAGTGTTTCTCTGTTTTTGTGAGTTTAAGAAATGTGGACTTTAACTCCCAGAATTCTGCAGCCAGCATGCTGAAGAGATGACATCCACATCTCTTAAACTTGCCAAGGTTGACTCTTGGCTCAAAAAGACAAATAGGCAAGTAGACATTTGCCAAGGTTGAGAAACACTGTCCAACCTTCTTTTGGGAATGGGGGAAGCTGCATGGACTATCTAGCTCTGGATGAGTCTAACTGGGGGCTGTTCTGAGACAGGGCTTTCAACACTCGGGGATTGGGAAACAGGTTGTACTATGTACCAAAGGTCAGAAATTGCAAGTGAGCCTGTTGGGCAAAAGCTGTTTATTCAATAGAGCCCCAGGTCTATCCTTTACCTCATCCCTTACAGCCTTCTGAAAAAATAAAGATAGAGGCTGTGACTACAGTTTAATTCTTCAAGTGGGTCCACACTTAAAAGACTGTGGATCCACTTGAAGAATTAAACTGTAGTCACAGCCTCTATCTTCATTTTGAAAATAGAGTTGATGGAAAGAGCAGAAAAAGTGATGTGGTTCAAGCAGGGGCTTTGCAAGAAGGAAGAAATTACAAGTGCTCCCAACATACTGAATTCTGGGAGTTGAAGTCCACAAGTCATAAAAGGGCCAAGTTTGAAGAGTCCTGATCTAAGCCCAGTGTTTCTCCGTTTTGGCGAGTTTAAGAAATGTGGACTTTAACTCTCAGAATTCTGCAGCCAGCATGCTGAAGAGATGACATCCACATCTCTTAAACTTGCCAAGGTTGACCCTTGGCTCAAATAGACAAATCAGCAAGTAGACATTTGCCAGGGTTGAGAAACACTCTCCAAGCTTCTGGAATCCAACTAACGTTGAAGAGCAAGTCAACTTCTGACATCCCAAACTCGCCAAATCACATTTTTTAATCTACATGGATGTGTCAGAACTTTGGCAATTTTAAGATCTGTGGACTCCCAAGTCTGCGAGTTGACGTTCACGAGGTCTTAAAAGTTGCCAAGATTGGACACCCGGATCTACATGATTGTATGGACCCAACCTATGCAGGTTATTTAAGGGTATTTTTGATTAAGCAAGGCATGATTAAATTTCGGGCAAGCATATCCGCAGACCCACCCAATGTTGCTTAGACGTCCTTCCATCCCTCAAGGCTTTTCCTGGTTTCTTCTTGGGAACTATGTTGGATTAAAGAGAGACTCCGAGGCTTCCCCCCCCCTTCCCCTTTTCCCAGCTCCGGCAACCGCCGCATCTCATCTTGGCTGATCTCTAAAAGCAAAACTCAGAGGAACGTGGGAAATTGTCCAGTTGGATCCAGGGCGAAATTAGGTGGCAAAGACTTTCCTACTGTCCGAACGACAACCTGGAGAAGTGGGCATAGCCAGCTGGGCAAGAGGCTACACCCCCTCCAAGGAGAGCCAATGGGTGCAGAGAAAAGTATTTGTTCCCGGCGCTTGCCAGCTCACCTTCACATTGGAGGGGTGATGGCAGTAGCACGTGCAGTCGAGTGGATCTTTGCTTCCTACTTCCTCACTCACATCATGGTCACTTTATTCTTCGATTTGCAGATATTGCTGCCTGGAGTTTACCCTTCCACCGTAAGTAGAAAGGAACCGCCGAGCTTGTGTGGCTGTTCCAACCTAAAGCGCCAGGGATCTGCCTCGCTTAAGAATCTGGGACCGGGTCCTTTGCGTATCTAGTGCAGAAAACTTGCTCAAAGACGCTGAAGAACCGGGATTCTTTGGGGAATGGGGGAAGTTGCATGGACCATCTAGCTCTGGATGAGTCTAACAAGAGATGGGAGGATCCAGCGCGTCTGCCACCTGGGATATCCATGTGGCTTGACTGGATTACCACTGGGGGCTGTTCTGAGACAGGGCTTTCAACACTCTGGGATTGGGAAACAGGTTGTACTATGTACCAAAGGTCAGAAATTGCAAGTGAGCCTGTTGGGCAAAAGCTGGGCTTTATTCCGGCAATCTTTCAATAGCTTCTGTGTATCTGACCAATATAACTAGATTAGGGGTAGGCAACCTTGGCTCTTTTATGGATTCAACTCACACCCTGGTTGGTACCTCTTTACTCTCCTATAATTGGGTAGGAGATACAGAAACATAGCCAGCCGTACCAACAGGCTGAAGAACAGCTTTTATCCATGGGCCGTCAGGCTTCTGAATGGGACATAACTTTATAACTTTATGCATGACAGACTCGCAAGGCTGGCGTGATGTGGGTGAAAGAAGTTGGGGGTTTGTAGTCACTGTGAGTTTGTGGTGAGGAGGGGCACAGAGGGAGGCTCAGCCAATTTCACTGTTTACTTGTTATACTTTGATAATAAAGGGTTTGTTCTGGACCATGTAGTTCTGTATGTTAGAAGGTTGGCATTTATTGGGTTAAGTGCTGTCTCCTTAAGAGATGGAAACAGCATCTTATGGAAAATGTAGTTTAGTTAGTCAGTTATCTCATGTTATCAGGTATGTGTGAGGAGTTACTGAAGTCATCACAGGACTTCCTGGACACAAGCCAGGGGGGAATGTTCTTTGTCTGAGATTAGCATGAGCTATCGGAGGTCAGATGGCTTTGCTCCATGCGAGAACTTGGTGTGGAGAAGCTAATAAATTTACCTAATGGAGATCCACAGATTGCTTTGTCCAGACAGTATCTACCAATAGCAAGTATTATTTCTGACTGAATAAATATATATGTTTTGAAATCATCTTCATTCGAGTTAATCTGTCTGTGATTGAATTGGACTAGGGCATTCTGATTCATGATCAGAACAGGATTTATTATTATTAACTCCCAGAATTCCAGAGTCAGCCATGCTGGCTCAGGAATTCAGAGAGTTCAAGTCCACGAGTTATAAAAAAGCAAATGTTGTTTACCCCTGAACTAGTTCATAATGTATGTAAACCTTTTCCTTGTGTTTTATATATTGCTTATTATTTGAAAGGGTTTGCAAAATGTTTTAAATTCTTCCTTTTATTGTACTCCGCCCACTGATATGGGGGCCTATAAATTTACCTCATTTACCTTTACCTCATCCCTTAAGTCTGCAAGCAAGCACCAAGGACTCCTCAGTTGAATCTTCACCAATGGATGGTCTCTTCTATTGGCCTGCAAAAGTTGTAATCAGAACCTATCACATAGTTTGAGAAATAAGGAAAAATCCCCCCATGCTAACAAAACTGGCCACACCAACTGGTGCCAAGTTCTACCTACATGCTTTGCATCAGTCTCCCACCCAACAGTAAAATGGGGCAGGGTTTCTATCACACAGTTGCAATGTTGCAATATTTGAATGTTATTGCTCCACCTCACCATAGATGGAAGATTAAAAGGAAGATTTAGGTGCCCCCCTTCTCCTCCTTACTCACCAACCATCTTCTCTGTTCCTAAAGCTGTCCGATATGTTGACGTGGTACACAACTACTTTCAAGGATTCATTAGTGGCAGGCCGAGAACCCTGGTTCATGTCTTCCCTTTACTTTGAAACTTTTCCACAATTGTTTTTCTTTCCCGTGGCTGCTTACGCCTTCTGGAAAGGTAAGTGTGCACATTTGTGTGAAACAGGTGAGCATGGCATTGGGTGGGCACAGAATCATGATAAATTGGAGAGAAGAATGCAAGTATTTCCCAATGGAGTTTGAAGGTCAAGAAGCATTCATGAGACCCATCAGACTCTGAAGCTTTCATGCTGGACAGACTGTTGGCAGCCTGGACAGGCTTATCTATTTTTTCTGAAATAATGAAAAAAAAAAACTTTTTATGGCACAATTTGAAGTAGTCCTTGACTTACAACCATTCGTTTAGTGACTGTTCTAAGTTACAGTGCAATTGCAAAAAGTGACTTATGATCAGTCTTTGTTGCAGTGTCCCCATGGTCACATGATCAAAATACAGGTGCCTAGCAACTGGCATGTATTTATAACTGTTACAGCATCCCGCAGTCATGTGATTCTCATTTGCACCTTCCCAATTGGCATCCAATAAGCCAAGCCAATAGGGAAAGTTGAATTCACTTAACAGCCATGTAATTTATTTAACTGCAGTGATTTTGCTTAACAACCGTGGCAAAAAAAAATATCATAAAATTGACCTGACTCGGTTAACAACCACCTTATTAGCACGGGAAAGTCTCATCCCAATTGTTGTTGTAAGTCGAGGACTGTTAATATTTACATATGTATGCAAATTAGGAAATGAGCACTTGAGTCTTGACCTAGGATTGCAGTTATTTAAAAAAAACACCTGTTTTTTTAATGCAGGGAACTGCAAGTGGATCCGGACTCCTGTAATTATCTACGCAACGCACATAATCACAACGGTGGTTACCTACCTGGCTCACATTCTGTTTACTGATTTCTCCAACGGCAAAGTCCTGGGTCCACAGACCCTGCAGGAACGCCTGACCCTGTCTGCTTTCTACGCTCCTTTCTTAGCAATTCCCCTTGTGATGCTGCTTTTTGTATTGTTCAGCTCTGGTTATAAGCCAGTTGAAAAAAAGAAGAAGAAATAAAACCTTTGGCCCTTCTCCTTTGGGAAGGAAAATGTGCCAATTTGATCAAGGGCAGTGTGCGTGTTTCCTGATATTATTAAACTGATCTTCTTCTTCTTCTTTTTGGGCTATATCCGTTATCGGACGTTGGCAATCATGTTGGCAATCCTGTTTTTATCAGCAGCCGCACAAAAAAGTGCTGCTGAGTTTTGTCCAAACCAGTCCCTTAAATTTTGAAGCCACGATGTTCTTCTTCTGCTTGGACCTCATTTGCCTTCAATCTTTCCCTGGAGGATTAAATGGAGTATGCCGTATTTTTCTGGGTGTCGCATCACATGTCGGAAATATTCTAATTTTCGTTTTTTAATTGTTTTGATGATTTCCCTTGGCTTTCCCAGGTGGCTTACCCCCTCCTCATTTCTGATCTTGTCAACCCAGCTTATATGTAATAGCCACCTGTAAATCCACATTTCAAATGCTTCTGGTCTCTTCAGGTGGCCTTCTGTCAGAGACCAACTCTCTACTCCATAGAGTAGGATAGAAAAAATATAGCATCTGACAAGCCTGATTTTCAGTCTTAGGCTTATGTCGTGACTGCAGAAGACTTTTTTCATTTTGAAGAATGCTGTTCGAGCTTTCTCTATCCTTCTCTTTACTTCAACGGTCATGCAGCAGCTTTCATGTAAATTGGAACTGAGGTTTGTGATCCTTTCAACTTTTTTTAGTGGTATTTCTCCTGAATTTATTGGTGGTAAATTAACGGGTTGTTTGCTGATGACCATGATCTTGGTTTTTGAGGTGTTAAGCTTCAAGACATATTTTTCAGATATTTCTGTGACTCTGTTGATGAGGAGCTGAAGGTCTTCATGCTTACTGGCAAGCAGAACTGTATCGTCAGCATATCTTAAGTTGTTGATCCAAACACCGTTTACTTTGATGCCAGCACTGATGTTCTCCAGGGCCTCGTTGAAGATTGACTGATAGGGAAACAAATTTTAAAAAAAGGAATTGTCTCCACATATGATTGATAGGCTTCAAAATGGCAAATGCAGTTCAGGGTATGTGCAAAGTGATACATGTTGGCAGAGAAGTCTTTACTACAGCTGTATTTTGATACAATTTGAAAGGGAATATTGAACTCATTGATAGGTATGTCAAATAGTGTCCTAGGACTTGATTTATTTTTTTCTTTGCCCCTTCTCAGAAAATACTTTCAAAACTTTAAAAAGTTTCTTTTGTAGAGTCAGTATAGAAAAGTTATCCAAATCAATCTTCTTGTTTGTTAATTTTATGTTCCTTTTAATTATTAAAATATCAACCAGTTTAATCTGTTATATGCAATGTATTATTTTTTTTCATGTCGTTCTTGTAGCTTGTCAATTTAAATCCTCATTCAAATCAATTTCAGTTCTGTATTATCTTTTTTCTATAACATCACTTATACATCATCTATGATGACAGACATTCTTAAAATTAACTTCTGAGTCCATTGTTCATAAATATTCTTCAAAAATTCCAATGTTAAAATATTTTGCTCCATTCTATGTTGACTCATTAAGTATTCTTCTCCTTTAATTGTGATATTTCATTTCTTCTAGTTCACTTTAGTGTACTACCCAATCATTATTTTTTCTAAAGAATCTAAACAAAAAATTTCCACAGGAAAGATTCTTATAATTATATATTAGTTCTAATTCTTATAATTCATTTCAGAGTCTTATTTCAAATCCATCTGGACTCTTAGCCCATTTTTAACTTTCCAAAATCAACACTCTAAACACTTTTCTGCTGTCTATTCCAAAAAGTTAAAAAAAAATCTGAGTTGTTAAACTTATACTTGAAATTTTTTTCACTAAGAAGGAGACTCACCCAGTGAATGAGATAAAAGCATGACGTTCTGCAGGTTCTTAGGAGTTGAAAAGCAGTTTTTTTAAAAAAGCTATTCCAAAACTGATTAAGAAATGAGGCTTGGTCAAGCTTTGTGTCCATATAGGCTACGTTACAAATGGGGGCTTAGATGGAATCCCTTGAATCCAGCTGCACAACTCATAAGCCGACTGAAAAAAACTTTGGTTTCTGCAGCCTACTCCCAAAGAGCAGCTATGCAGAGTACTTGTGGCAATCTCACGATCTCTCCTTTCTCTGGAGCGATTTTGCCAGCCACAATCCATCCAGCCTCCAATCTCCGCCATAAATACTGTCCCCAGTCCTTCAGGGAATCTAGCTCATCCTGTCTTCATTAGAAGTCTCCCTGCAGTAGTATTTAAGATCTAGCTCTACTGAATGAAAATTGGAAAGATAAAATTACAATTGTACACTAGCAAAGTTCAAAGACAATAAAAGATGATATATAGGTCCAGATTCTTACCTGTGAGACAAGGAAGTGGTTATAGGTAAGAATATATAATGGGGCTCATAATACTTTGCCTCCTATTATTCTGGCAATAAAAGAGACTACAGTAAAGGCAGGAAGTCCTCTTTTAGTGTGTGTCATACATGAACTACTATTTTAGTAGCAAAAGGAAGATTTTTAATTGACTTTTTTTACATTATTGGAGTTTGGACATATTGTATTTTCAATTTCCTCTTACTGTCTTGTTCATGAGCTCCCTAATTTTATCCAGTGAATGCACTCTTAAGATATTCACAAAGACTGAGCAAAAACTGCATCTCTTTAAGACAGGTGGTCCTCGTTTCCAACCAGCTGGCCACAAAGGGTTCTATTTTCTGAAGAGGTTTGATGAGTCCCATCTCGTGAATCCCATGTCACTTGGCCAGGGTAACAGTGTTGTCACATTTGTTTGCCTGTGTGGCCGCTTGCCAAGTTGCAGCAAGTTCACTTTCCATCCTGCTATTCTTGCGGGAATGCCATGCCTTTTTTATTGGTGCTGAAACCTTTGCACTGGACTTCTCTTTTTCTCCTTCGGTGAAGCTTTCCCCAGCAAGCTGTCCTCAGATGTCTTAGACTTCTGCTCTGAACAGTCATGCTGAAAAGCATCAACATTCATTATACTAGCAAACTTCCCTCATGAGAGAATCCTTTTACTTTTCCCATACTCCTGGACGAGCAGTTGTGGTTAATTTAAACAAAACTACAATATTCTAAAATAACCCAGCCTCAAAGTTTAACAGAAGCACAGAGCTCTGATCATAAACCTCCTCATGTAGCTGTCCGGACCTGCTTAATTGTTGACTTTGCACATTTTAAAAAGTGGATGAAAAATCTATTTTTCTGATTACACTTCTGTATAGACCGAATCTTACCAAGTTGATGCTCCTCCAACAATATGGCCAGAGCTCACTTGGCACCTTATTCCATGTGGTTTTAATTCTAGAATCCAGAATGTCCTACCATTTTCCAAAGTATCCTCTGCAAAACAACAAAACAGTAGTGTACTGAGACCCAATTAAGCCTCTTCCACCAGGAAGATTCATTCAACTGATAGCTAGAATGTAAACTTCATCATGTAAGCCAGAGGTCTTCAAACTTGGCACTTTTATGACTTGTGGACTTCAACTCCCAGAATTGCTCATAAAAGGGCCAACTTTGAAGACCCCTGATCTAATCCCAGTGTTTCTCCGTTTTGGCGAGTTTAAGAAATGTGGACTTTCAGAACTCTCAGAATTCTGCAGCCAACATGCTGAAGAGATGGTCCACATCTCTTAAACTTGCCAAGGTTCACCCTTGGCTCAAATAGACAAATCGGCAAGTAAACATTTGCCAGAGTTGAGAAACACTCTCCAACCTTCTGGAATCCAAGTCAACTTCTGACATCCCAAACTTGCCAAACCACATTTTTTTTAACCCACACTGGTGTGTCAGAACTCTGGCAATTTTAAGATCTGTGGGCTCTAAGTCCACGAGGTCTTAAAGGTTGCCAAGATTGGACACCCGGATCTACACGATTGTATGGACCCAACCTATGGAGGTTATTTAAGGGTATTTTTGATTAAGCAAGGCATGATTAAATTTCGGGCAAGCATATCCGCAGACCCACCCAATGTTGCTTAGACGTCCTTCCATCCCTCAAGGCTTTGCTATTTTCCTGGTTTCTTCTTGGGAACTGCGTTGGATTAAAGCAGTGTTTCTCAACCTTGACAATTTTAAGGCATGTGGACTTCAACTCCCAGAATTCCACAGCCAGCATTGCTGGCTGTGGAATTCTGGGAGTTGAAGTCCACATGCCTTAAAATTGTCAAGGTTGAGAAACATTGGATTAAAGAGAGACTCCGAGGCTTCCCCCACCCCCTTCCCCTTTTCCCCGCTCCGGCAGCCGCCGCATCTCATCTTGGCTGATCTCTAAAAGCAAAACTCGGCGGAACGTGGGAAATTGTCCAGTTGGATCCAGGGCGAAATTAGCAGACGAAGACTTTCCTACCGCCCGAAGGACAACCTGGAGAAGTGGGCGTAGCCATCTGGGCAAGAGACCACACCCCCTCCAAGGAGAGCCAATGGGTGCAGAGAAAAATCGATCGTTCGTTCCCGGCGCTTGCCAGCTCGCCTTCACTTCGGAGGGGCGATGGCGGTGGCGCGCGCACTCGAGTGGATCTTCGCCTTCTACTTCCTCGCTCACATCCCGATCACTTTACTCTTCGATTTGCAGCCGTTGCTGCCTGGAGTTTACCCTTCCGCCGTAAGTAGAGAGGAACCGCCGAGCTTGTGTGGCTGTTCCAACCTAAAGCGCCGGGGATCTGCTTCGCTTAAGAATCTGGGACCGGGTCCTTTGCGTATCTAGTGCGGAAAACTTGCTCGAAGACGCTGAAGAACCGGGAATCTTTTGGGAATGGGGGAAGTTGCATGGACCATCTAGCTCTGGATGAGTCTAACAAGAGATGGGAGGATCCAGCGCGTCTGCCACCTGGGATATCCATGTGGCTTGACTGGATTACCACTGGGCGCTGTTCTGAGACAGGGCTTTCAACACTCGGGGATTGGGAAACAGGTTGTACTATGTACCAAAGGTCAGAAATTGCAAGTGAGCCTGTTGGGCAAAAGCTGGGCTTTATTCCGGCAATCTTTCAATAGCTTCTGTGTATCTGACCAATATAACTAGATTAGGGGTAGGCAATCTTGGCTCTTTTATGACTCGTGGACTTCAACTCCCAGAATTCCAGAGCCAGCCATGCTGAGGAGAAGGAGAAGTTTCCATGCTGAGCCATGCCGGCTCAGGAATTCTGGGAGTTGAAGTCCACGAGTCATAAAAGAGCCAAAGTTGCCTACCCCTGATTACGAGATCATAATGTATGTAAACCTTTTCCTTCTGTCTTATATATTGTTTATTGTTTGAAAGGGTTTGCAAAATGTTTTAAATTCTTGCTTTTATTGTACTCCGCCCACTGATATGGGGGCCTATAAATTTACCTCATTTACCTTTACCTCATCCTTAAGTCTGCAAGCAAGCACCAAGGACTCCTCAGTTGAATCTTCACCAACAGATGGTCTCTTCTATTGGCCTGCAAAAGTTGTAATCAGAACCTATCACATAGTTTGAGAAATAAGGAAAAATCCCCCCATGCTAACAAAACTGGCCACACCAACTGGTGCCAACTTTTACCTACATGCTTTGCATCAGTCTCCCACCCAACAGTAAAATGGGGCAGGGTTTCTATCACACAGTTGCAACGCCAATCGAATGTTATTGCTCCACCCCACCATAGATGGAAGATTAAAAGGAAGATTTAGGTGCCCCCCCTCCTCCTCCTTACTCACCAACCATTTTCTCTATTCCTAAAGCTGTCTGATATGTTGACGTGGTACACAACTACTTTCAAGGATTCATTAGTGGCAAGCCCAGAACCCTGGTTCAAGTGTTTCCTTTGCTTCGAAGCTTTTCCACAACTGTTTTTCTTTCCCGTGGCTGCTTACGCCTTCTGGAAAGGTAAGTGTGTACGTTTGTGTGAAGCAGGTGAGCATGGCATTGAGTGGGCACAGGACCGTGATAAATTGTTCTTGGAGAGAAGAATGCAAGTATTTCCCAATGGAGTTTAAAGGTCAAGAAACATAATAATAATAGTAGTAGTAGTAGTAGTAGTAGTAGTAGTAGTAGTAGTAGTAGTAGTAATAATAATAGTTGGAAGGGACCTTGGAGGTCATCTAGTCCAACTCCCTGTTTAGGCAAGAAACCCTAACCATTTCGGACAAATGGCTGTCCAGTCTCTTCTTAAAAACCTCCAGTGTTGGAGCATTCACCGCTTCTAGAGGCAGGTGGTTCCACTGGCTAATTGTTCTGTTAGGAAGTTTCCTTAGTTCTAGGTTGCTTCTCTCCTTGATTAGTTTCCATCCATTGCTTCTTGTCCTGCCTTCAGGCATTTGGAAAATAGCCTGACTCCCTCTTCTTTGTGGCAGCCCCTGAGATATTGGAACACTGCTTTCATGTCACTCCTTGTCCTTCTCTTCGTTAAACTAGGCATACCCAATTCCAGCAATCGTTCCTTATATGTTTTAGCCTCCAGTCTCCTGATCATCTTTGTTGCTCTTCTCTGTACTCTTTCTAGAGTACATCTTTTTTACATCGTGGTGACCAAAACTGGATGCAGTATTCCAAGTGTGGCCTTAACAAGGCATTGTAAAGTGGTATTAATACTTCACGTGATCTTGATTCTATCCCTCTGTTAATGCAGCCTAGCACTGTGTTGGCTTTTTTGGCAGCTGCAGCACACGGCTGGCTCCTTTTTAAGTGATTATCCACTAGGGCATTCATGAGATCCATCAGACTCTGAAGCTTTCATGCTGGATTGGACAGACTGTTGGCAGCCTAAACAGGCTTATCTATTTTTTCTGAAATAATGAAAAAAAACCCTTTTTATGGCACAATTTGAAGTAGTCCTTCACTTACAACCATTCGTTTAGTGACTGTTCTAAGTTACAGTGGAATTGCAAAAAGTGACTTACGATCAGTCTTCGCATTTATGACTGTTGCAGTGTCCCCATGGACACATTATCAAAATACAGGTGCTTAATTGTTACAGCATCCCGCAGTCATGTGATAATAAAATAATAATAATAAACCCTTTATTATCAAAGTATAACATGTATACAGTGAAATTGGCTGAGCCTCCCTCTGTGCCCCTCCTGACCACAAACTCAAGGTGACTACAAACCCCCAACTTATTTCACCCACATCATGCCAGCTTTGCGAGTCTGTCATGCATAAAGTTATAAAGTTATGTCCCATTCAGAAGCCTGACGGCCCATGGATAAAAGCTGTTCTTCAGCCTGTTGGTATGGCTGGCTATGTTTCTGTATCTCCTACCCGATGATAGGAGAGTAAAGAGGTACCAACCAGGATGTGAGTCATCCCTAAGAATTTTCCTCACTCTGCCAAGGTAACGGGCCCTGGCAATGTCATCCAGTGGAGTCAGGGAACAGCCCACGATGTCTTGTGCTGTACTCACCACCCTCTGCAATACCTTCCTGTCCGCGGCTGTCAGACCAGCATACCAAACCACAATACAATATGTGAGAATGCTTTCAATAGTAGATCGGTAGAAGAAGGTCATGAGTCGTCGTTCTACCCTGTTCTTCTGCAGGGTAGATGGTAGGTGTTCTTCCGCAGGTGCAAATGGTAAATGATTCCCATTTGCACCTTCCCAATTGGCATCCAATAAGCCAAGCCAATAGGGAAAGTTGAATTCACTTAACAGCCATGTAATTTATTTAACTGCAGTCATTTTGCTTAACAACCATGGCAAAAAAAAAATCATAAAATTGACCTGACTCGGTTAACAACCATCTTGTTAGCAAGGCAAATTCTCATCCCAATTGTTGTTGTAAGTCGAGGACTGTTAATATTTACATATGTATGCAAATTAGGAAATGAGCACTTGAGTCTTGACCTACGATTGCAGTTATTAAAAAAAAAAACACCTGTTTTTTTTTTAATGCAGGGAACTGCAAGTGGATCCGGACTCCTGTAATTATCTACACAACGCACGTAATCACAACGGTGGTTACTTGCCTGGCTCACGTTCTGTTTGCTGATTTCTCCAACGCCAAAGTCCCGGGCCCACAAACCCTGCAGGAACGCCTGACCCTGTCTGCTTTCTACGCTCCTTTCTTAGCAATTTCCCTTGCGATGCTGCTTTTTGTATTGTTCAGTTCTGCTTATAAGCCAGTTGAAAAAAGGAAGAAGAAATAAAACCCTTGGCCCTTCTCCTTTGGGAAAGAAAATGTGCCAATTTGATCAAGGACTGTGTGTGTGTTTCCTGATACTATCAAACTGATAGGGGAACAAATAAAAAAAAAGGAATTGTCTCCACATATGATTGATAGGCTTCAAAATGGCAAATGCAGTTCAGGGTATGTGCAAAGTGATACATGTTGGCAGAGAAGTCTTTACTACAGCTGTATTTTGATACAATTTGAAAGGGAATATTGAACTCATTGATAGATATGTCAAATAGTGTCCTAGGACTAGATTTATTTTTTTCTTCGCCCCTTGTCAGAAAATACTTCAAAACTTTAAAAAGTTTCTTTTGCAGAGTCAGTATAGAAAAGTTATCCAAATCACTCTTCTTGTTTGTTAATTTTATGTTCCTTTTAATTATTAAAATATCCACCAGTTTAATCTGTATATGCAGTGTATTATCTTTTTTCATGTCGTTCTTGTAGCTTGTCATTTTTAAATCCACATTCAAATCAATTTCAGTTCTGTATTATCTTTTTTCTATAACATCACTTATACATCATCTATGATGACAGACATTCTTAAAATTAACTTCTGAGTCCATTGTTCATAAATATTCTTCAAATTCCAATGTTAAAATATTTTGCTCCATTCTATGTTGACTCATTAAGTATTCTTCTCCTTTAATTGTGATATTTCATTTCTTCTAGTTCGCTTTAGTGTACTACCCAATCATTATTTTTCCTAAAAAATCTAAACAACAGCAATTTCCTACAGGAAAGATTCTTATAATTATATATTAGTTCTAATTCTTATAATTCATTTCAGAGTCTTATTTCAAATCCATCTGGACTCTTAGCCCATTTTTAACTTTCCAAAATCAACACTCTAAACACTTTTCTGCTGTCTATTCCAAAAAGTTAAAAAAAATCTGAGTTGTTGAACTTATACTTGAAATTTCTTTCACTAAGAAGGAGACTCACCCAGTGAATGAGATAAAAGCATGACGTTCTGCAGGTTCTTAATAGTTGAAAAGCAGTTTTAAAAAAAAGCTATTCCAAAACTGATTAAGAAATGAGGCTTGGTCAAGCTTTGTGTCCATAAAGGCTGTGTTACAAATGGGGGCTTAGATGGAATCCCTTGAATCCAGCTGCACGACTCATAAGCCGACTGAAAAAAATTTGGTTTCTGCAGCCTACTCACGAAGAGTACTTGTGGCAGTCTTGAGAAACACTGTCCTACACTATGCCCAAACATCATGGGAAATTGGGCTGGGAACCTATTCATCTGAATGGCTCACACCACAACCAGCTCCAACACCTTGCCTTCAGGGCTGGGGTGCAGCTACACAATCATGCAACTGCAGGATGATGTCATGGAGGGTGGGTGTTTCTATGTGTGATTCTTCTAGCGATTGAGTGGGAGGGACTGGCCCCGAGGACCCAGCTAGTTTCATGCCTATAAGCAGGACTAACTACTGCTTTTGATTGCCTGAACCCAATCCGTATTCAATGGATTGTGTGAAGCTTGAAAATGGGTTGATTCAATAGCAAAGTTCATTAGGTTGTTAGAAAAGGACACTTGTAATCGCTCTGTAATGCACAGGATCTTCTTGGACTACACAGTCTTTTTCAACTTTTAAAACCCTGTGGAACAACTTGAAAAATGAAATTTTAGTTACAGCCTCTACATGTTTTTCAGAAGGCTGAGAGAAGCTAGATGGACACGCTTGCAGTTCTATTTTTTTAAAAAATGAGAGAGTTAGCATCTAAGGCTCCAGGGACGGGTGAGATATAAATTTTTATCTTTGGTCATACCAGAACATACGGTATTTATGGGTCAAACATACTGTATATGGCTACCCATATCACTTGCAGTGACACTGGACAGCAACCAATAAAAAGGATTAAAATTTATTAATCCCCTGAACTTAATAAACAAAGATCAAACACAAGGAAGGTGTTTACATAAAGAGTTTGATCCAGATGTTTCGTTGCAATACGCCTAACTTGCTTCAAGATTGCTGGAATTAAGCCCAGTTTTTGCCCAACAGCTTACTTGCAAAACTTGGCTTTTAGTATACAGATAAATCCTCGTCTTACAACCATTCAGTTAGTGACTGTTCAAAGTTAGAAAAACACTGAAAAAAAGGGACTTATGACCATTTTTCACACTTGCTGCCATTGCAGCATCCCTACGGTCATGGGATCAAAATCTAGACACATGGCAACTGGATCATATGATGGTTGCAGTGTCCCGGGGTCATGTGATCCCCTTTTGCGACCTTCTGACAAGCAAAGTCAATGGGGAAGCCAGATTAACATAGCTACTGTGGCAAGAAAGGGCATAAAATGGGGCAAAACTCACTTAACAGACTCAATTAGCAAAGGAAATTCAATCATGGTCGTCCCGATAGTTCAGTGGTTCTCAACCATTTTAATGCCGCGACCCCCCCAACCGGTCGTAAGTCGAGGACTACTCAACTGGGGCAGCACCGTTTGCAGAATGGGACTTTTGGCGGGCTCAGCAGGGCAGAGACAGCCTGGACAATTCCTATTGGCTTTGGAAAGCCAATAGAATTAGACTCTATTCAAGAGAGTCTGTTCTATTGGCTTTCAAAAGCCAATAGAATAAAAAGGGAGTAGCACAGCTAAGGAAAAGGGGGGGAAAAATGGCGGACTGCATTGTTTGGCAACCCCCGTGAAATGGTCGTTCGACCCCAAATGGGGTCCCGACCGACAGGTTGAGAACCACTGCGATAGTTATTTTCTAAAAGGCAACTGGACTTTTTGTTTTTTTTCCCTGAACACCTTTCACTTCTCATCCAAGAAGTTTCTTCAGTTCAGAACTGAAGAAGCTTCTTGAATGAGAAGCGAAACGTTTTCAAGGAAAGAAATCAAAAAAGTCTAATTGCCTTTGGAAAAGCACCTATGGGACAAGCAGATCTGGATGACTGGGAATCTCCATAGAGCAGGGGTAGGCAACCTTGGCTCTTTTATGACTCATGGACTTCAACTCCCAGAATTCCTGAGCCAGCCATGCTGAGGGGAAAGGGAGAATTTCCAAGCTGAGCCATGCTGGCTCAGGAATTCTGGGAGTTGAAGTCCACGAGTCATAAAAGAGCCAAGGTTGCCTACCTCTGCCATAGACATTCAGTTGTGATCGTAAGTCTGGGCTGCCTGTAGTACAACTTGCTTCCTAGTTTCAGAGTGTGGGAAAGCGCCTTCTTAGAGCGGGCCCCGTCTTCCCCAGAGACCTTGGGGAATCCACCTAAAGGCCCCAGGTAGGGGAGGGCTGGATCCGCCCATCCCCAGTCAGACTCATCCAGAGCTCGGTGGTCCCCATGGCTTCCCCCGTTCCCCAAAGAATCCCGGTTCTTTGTCCTCTTCAGGCAGGAGCGAGGCACCCGGGTCCAGATTCTGGCGCAAAGCAGATCCCTGAGGCTTTGGGCGGGATCAGCCACTGGAGCTTGGCGCTTCCTCTCTACCAGCGGAGGGCGGATAAACTCCAGGCCGCAATGGGTGAAGATTGACGAATAAAAAGAGCGGGACGTGAGCGAGGAAGTAGCAGACAAAGATCCACTTGAGAACGCACCCCGCAGCCGTTGCCTCTGGAGCATCCGCAGGACTGGCGGGCGGTGGGAAGGATCACTTTGCTCCTTCCCTGGTGGCTCTCATTGGGGGGGGGGCATGGCCCACTGCCCCCGCCCACTTCTTCCAGCAGAGCTCTTGGGGGGGGGTAGGGTCTTCGCTAAAGGTCCCGCCGGGGCCTCTTCCCTCTCCACTGCGGGACCCAGCGCAGCCCTCGGGACGAATCATAGGAACCATCATAAAAAGACCCATTTTATGACCTTTCTTGTTAAGTGAATCGTTGCAGTTAAGTTAGTAACATGGTTGTTAAATGAATCAGGCTTCCCCAATAACTTTGCTTGTCAGAAGGTCACAAAAGCTGATTGCATGACCCCCCCCCCGGACAGTGCAAAAATGTCATTAATATGAACCAGTTGCCAAGCATCCGGATTTTGATCACGTGAGCAAGGGGACGCTGCAACGGGTGCGTGAAAAACGGTCGTAAGTCACTCTTTTCAGTGCCGTTGCAACTTTGAACAGTGACTAAATGAACTGTTGTAAGTCGAGGACTACCTGTACATGCCATCTTGACTTTTTGACCACAACCCCATGGATGGAAGATTGAAGGTTGATTCAGATGCCTTCCTCTTTCTCCTCCCTCTCCTGTTCCTTCTCTCTTTCACTATTTCTGTCTCATCCGTTTCTTTTCTCTATCCAGCATCAGTCTGATGTAAGTGCAGTAGTGAAAACAGCAGGTCATGCAGAGTTTCCAAGGATAGTTAATTGTTCCTTGAAAGCATGTTGTTTTTTATTTTCTTAAAAAGTGGGGAAGGGGCACAAACCCAGTGAGAAATACAGTTTAGTGATTGAAACTCTCATTACAAAACAGCTGCTAAAAAAAAGACTTAAATACAGGAATTGCTCCTTCCTTTTCATCCTTTGGAAGCATATCCAATCGCAAACATCTTCCCTGGGAACCTGCCAACCGTGGTTTCCATCATCCCCAACTACAGGACAGGCTGCTTGAGGACAATGAAAACTCTCCGGGTTGGACAGGGGATCTTGCAAGGGGTATCCTTCAGTCGACGCTTCCACAGCCTGTTCAAATTGCCTGGATCTGGAACAACAGGAATGGGTCAAGTTCTCTTGGTCTGTTGGTGGCCATCAGTTCTTGGGTCTACTTCTGGAAGATAAACTGGTCAATGAATTCATTCTGGTCTGCTTCTATTTTGCACAGTGTTTGATACTCGACTCGGTACCTGAGGATCAAGGAAAGCAAAGAGTGAGTTGGCTGGGCTGAAGGCAACTGGAAGAATGAACAACTGGGGAAGATTTTTCAGCTGGGAGGAAGAGTTACGACAGGAACAAAAGCTGATGGCTTCTATGTGTTTGCATTCTTGAGTTATTCAAGAAGTATCAGAACACTTTAGGGAGCAAAAACACTTCCAGCATTCTTTTGAATTCTTTGGCAGCTGTTTTATGACAACCGGCTCCAAGAACATAGAGGAGAACCCTCCCTGATGGATGTAGGGGATGGCCAATCAGGCTGCGCTGGGCAGATGAGGGAGGGAGGAAGAAAAAGTGTTCTAAGAGTGTTTGGAAGGCCGTGCAATTAATTGGCCCTTTGGAAAAAGGGAGGCTGTGCTATTTGGCATTTGGTGTACATGTATATTTAAGCACTTTAGAAGGCCTCCAAAGATAACTGTGATACTAATAGAATACACTGTATGTAGCTCAGGGTTGAACTATGGAACCCTTGGTGTACTCTGTTTATATATAGTACTGGTAGCTTGTGGGAGTGTGATTTTTTTTCTTGTTAGCTTTTTGATTGCAGTATTGTTTTTTGCTTATTTGTCTGGTGTTAATTCTTGCTTATCTGGAGGCTGGCAGCTGAAGCAGATGCATTCTGGTCTTTTAGTTTCCTTCTTAGGTTTTTTTTAATTGTCTCTTTTGAATGGTGTGTAAATGTAGCTTATCTCTAGGTGTCTATTGATGGCTGAATAGGGAGCAAACCCCATACTCATTAACACTGGCCGATGTTACCTAGTTGGGTCATGAAACATCTGCAAGCAAACAGCCAAGCTCAGAGAGCAACAAGAATTCTGTAACAGCGATAACTAGTCTCAGGGGGGTCTCCCCTCTCAAGTGCTAAATAACTTGCTCTTCCCAAAATGCAAATCTACGATGCACTCCTGCTTTCTCCTACCTGGCAAGCAAAGTGTCCACAGGGAGAAGATCAAAAGAGTCAAGATGGTGACCACATCTCTTTCCCCCATTTATGCAATGCATGTGAAAGAGGGGAACTGATGCTATCGCAATAATGCAATTAAGCAAGCCACTTTCTCTGACTTGGAGACCTAACAGCATCTGCCAGAATTCCCAGTGCTGTGGTTGAAATGGAGAATGTCAGCCCAAGGGAAGGCCTTAAAACATAGCCTCATCTTCTCTTTATTAGCTTTTCCCATCAGGGCCCATTTGACCCTCCTGAGGTTTACTTGGAAACCAACACCACTCAGCAGAGGGGGAACACACAGCATCCATCCTTTACAGAAGTATCTTCTGTGACTGCTCCACTCCAATAGAAAAAAAAAATTAAGTAGAGAAGAATCTAGGACAGCTTTTCTCAGCCTCAGCAACTTTAAGAAGAGTGGACTTCAGCTCTCAGAATTCCTCAGCTAAGGCTGATAAACACTAATATAGGATAAGAAATCTCGTGATACGGCCCCAAGCAGGGGAGCAAGACTGCCAAAATCTTGTATGAATTCAGATCCCTGGGGGGGGGGGGAGTTGGGAACAGAAAGAAAATATCCCTCCTTGATAATAAGGATCAGAAGCTTTAAGGACAGCAGACCTATTGAAGCTTCAGCTTTTGAGGCCAGAAAAACGGGGATGAGCTCAGCACCTATTTGCAAATTCCTTTGTCCATTCTAACCTTTCCAGCTGCGTCTTCTTCTCGGCGATTAATGCTTGGAGTTGTTGCTGCTGGGCCTCTCTTTGCTTTGCTATGGACTTCAGTAAGTTACGGGCCCCAATTGCCTGCAAAAGGAGAAGCCTTTGTTTTTTTAAAAAAGTAAGTATTTTTGTTTCCATGCAATCCTTCTAAATAGAGCTAAATAGTTAGCGCTGCTTTACCTCTAAAGATATCTGTGGCTCATCCATTGGTAAGCATCTACAGCAGGGGTGTAAAACTGACAGCCTGCAGGCTGGATGCATCATAGCAAAACCGTGCCCACCCCATTGCTGGCAATGACAAAAAAGTCATGATACATCGCGACGCGACACGTTGCGAGTTTGACACCCCTGATCAGTGTGCTATCTGTTTTTATCCTTATTGGGTCTCATCTGCCTCCTGATGGTCAAATAATGTCTACCAATCATTGATAAGCAATGACACTGTACTATGGAGGTTGTCCAACTGAATACCACCTTTAACTAACAATTTGCAATTACAGGTAGTCCTCATTTAGTGACACAATTAGGATGGGTAACTCCATCATTAAGTGAAATGGCCACTAAATGGGAAATCATGTGATTGCAACTGTGCTTTCGTTTTTCTCACTTGCCTGTAATTTAGAATGCTCACTCTGGCACTGGGGTAATTAGCAAGAAGGGAATTAATGTTTGTACTTAATTCATTGAAGAGGAAGGGATTACAAGAGAGTAATCAGGCACACAATAGGGAATACACATCGAAAGCAATATGGTGGTGCCAGAAACTGTGAGCATGCTATGCAAACAGCCCAGAATATTCCCCATTATGTACTTGCTTACTCTTTTTAATCTGTTTCTCTCCAATCTCCCCACTCTGCAAGGGGGTGGGGGAAAGGAAAAACAATAGATTAGGTACAGGACACAGTGGATTAATGTAATGGTGATTAAGTGATTAAGTGACTGAGAGATGCTATACTGTTCGTAAATGCAAGCGATAGTTGTATGTTTTTAGTACCATTGTAAACAAGGCAATCATTAAGGGAGTACACAGTGGCAAAGGACACAGAATACTTCTTGCCCTCTTTAATTTTTATAACTGATTACATTAAAAAGAAAGTAAAACCCTTTTTTTAAAAAATGGCAGACACCTTGTTTATCAGTTAATCTCCCAGAGCTATTTTTGAGAAGTAATCCCATTTAGTTCACGGGGACAAGGGGGGTTACTTCTTGATAATGCTGTAATTTAAGAACATAATTGTACTTTGGAATATATCTTTTTTAATATGGGTTATTCTTATAAAAAACCCTACATAATTCAGCTGTAAAAATTCCAGTCCTTAATCATAATTATCATTTTTTAAAGCAAACAACTGGCTCCTTTTTTTAAACAAAGTATGTTTTTAGTTTTAGAATGTTGCTCTTCTAAAGGAGGGCTACACAAACAGAAACAGATCAAACGTCTTTTTAAAAATCTGATACACCAGTTTAAAAACATAGAATTCATCAAAGGAATGTTAAAGTAATTAATTAAAATATATTTATGTTTCCTGTTTCTATGCAGGCAGGACATCAAGGCAGCTTAGAAGACTAAAGGGGAAATAAAAAACTAAAGACCTTTTTAAACTCCTAAATCTGAAGCAGGAAGGCTACAGCAGGACTGTCCAATCTTGGGAGCTTTAAGATCTCTGGACTTCAACTCCCAGAATTCTACATGCTGCTGTCTGGGGATTTCTGGGAATTGAAATCCACACATCTTAAAGTTCCCAAGGTTGGTAAACACTGGTTTTAGGCAAATTAGCTGCAACACATCGCAAGCCATATTGAGAGAAACTCAATTATAGCATGAACACACCACTTGTCATATAGTAACAATCCCTCCCTACATGCTGCCACAGTTGTTAAACATATCACTACAGTTGTTAAATGAATCGTGTGGTTGTTAAGCAAATCCAGCTGTCTCCACTGACACTGCTTGTGAATGGCAATTACTGGTATATGACCCCGACACACTTTGGCATAAAATTAGGCACAATTCACTTAATAACCACTGCAACCATTGTAAATACATGTGCCTGAATTTTGATCATATGACCATGGGGATGCTGTGAGAGTTGTTAAGTGTGAGGACTGGTTGCAAGGTGACTTTTTTCAATGCTATATTATAAATTGGAACAATCACTAGCCAAATAGTTGTAAATCAAGGACTACCTGTATCTGCTTTTTCTCCAGGATCCTAAGACAGTGTACTAAACACACACTCCTTCAATTTTCCTCTCTTACACTAGCATCCTTGTGAGGTAGGCTGGCCACAGAGAGAGTGACTGACTCAACAGGAGCTTCTGGAGCTGGGGGAGAGGGGCCAAAACCAGGTCCTTCTTATCCTAAGTCATGGGTGTCAAATTCGCCGCATCACGTGATGTGTCGCAACATATGCCACTTTTTTCACATTGCCGGAGCTGGGCTGGGCATGGCCTCTGCAGGATGCAACCGGCCTGTGGGTCGGCACTTTGACACCCTTGTCCTAAGTCAAACTACAACTCTTACACCACATCTGGAAGCAGTTATCTTGCTACCAGTAAAAAATGGAAAAAAGTAACAATAACAATAATAGAGTTGGAAGGGACCTTTGAGGTCTTCTAGTCCAACCCCCTGCTCAGGCAGGAAACCCTATACCATTTCAGACAAATGGCTGTCCGGTCTCTTCTTAAAAACTTCCAGTGTTGGAGCATTCACAGCTTCTGGAGGCAGGTTGTTCCACTGATTAATTGTTCTAACTGTCAAAAAATTTCTCCTTAGTTCTAAGTTGCTTCTGTCCTTGATTAGTTTCCATCCGCTGCTTCTTGTCTGAACTTCAGGCGCTTTGGAGAATAGCTTGACTCCCTCTTCTTTCTGGCAACCCCTGAGACACTGGAAGACTGCTATCTGGTCCCCCTTCGTCCTTCTCGTCATTAAACTAGACATACCCAATTCCAACATTTATACGTTTTAGCCTCTAGTCCCCTAATCCTCTTTGTTGCTCTTTTCTGCCCTCTTTCTAGAGTCTCAACATCTTTTTTACATCATGGTGACCAAAACTGGATGCAGTATTCCAAGTGTGGCCTTACCAAGGCATTGTAAAGTAGTATTAACACTTCACGTGATCTTGATTCTATCCCTCTGTTAATGCAGCCTAGCACTGTGTTGTTTTTTTTGGCAGCTGCAGCACACGGCTGGCTCATATTTAAGTGATTGTCTACTAGGACTCCGAGATCCCTTTCACAGTTATTGTTCAAAATTGTAATTGTTCAAAAGTCCTTAAAAACCATGATAGGTGCCCGGAGGTTTCAAAGCACGCTCATAAAATGTATTCTTCAGCCTGGACCTGCTCCCATAGAATCCTGCCAGCCACTGCTGCCTACCATTATTCCACAAGTATCAGACAGAGAGGCTCTAAGCTGGGTCCCTCTGATGTACAATCTGGCAGGTTCTCATTTTTAATTGTTTTCCCCCATAATATTTTTAAAAGTTGGCCAAGGCAGAGGCTCAGTTGAGTCCAAAGATATTTAGAATGTCTGCCCGTGGATGAGAACACTTTCACTCAAAACATTTTCACCTCTTTCTACTCAAAGACAGAAAGACTTTTTCTGAAGATTGAGAGGGACTGTCCTTCAAATCAGATATGGGAAATATTCCTTTATAATGTTCCTTTACCTTAATCTTCTCATTTTCTGTGGCTTTTGCTAGCTGATCTACAAGTTCAATGAGGTTGCCCACTATTTTTTTAAATTCTGCAATTTCTGTAAAGGAAGAAATCAGTAAAAAGAAAAGGTTTACATCCAAGCTCATAAGACAAGGGACCATAGAGTTAATATGGCAATTTCTATTATAATTTTTAGAGCGCTAATAATCACTCTTGTTTGGAATCATTAGAGAAAAGTGCCTCTGACAATTTGCTCATCCAATCAAACAAGGACTTTTAGAAAGATATAAAACTCCACCAATGCACACAGACACAAATATATTATCCTGCATACAGGCCTACACATCCAAGCACAAACACAGATGTCACAAACAGTCGCTCTGCCTAAGAGGAAGCCCTTTAACTTGCTTTTGGAGATCAAGTTTAAGATAACTCTCATTTTTGCAGGGCCCACCAGTTACAACAATCTGAACCTCTATCCCTGCCCTTAGAAGAAACATCCTTTTCTCACTTAGACAGATGTCTGATGGGCAGGCTGTTAAGACCTGCAGAAGTGAGAGCTGAAAGACAGAAAGGGCCTGGTAGCAGTTGATGGGAATATATTCGGTCCTAGTTCCAAATCCAAATGGCTACGACATTCTCAGGTCCCAGAGTTGTTCTTCTCTGTCCTGGTCTAAATGAGTCATTTCTGCATGGATCAGAAGAAAGAAAACTAAAACATGTGGCCAGTTATGGCATCTTCCAGATGGGCTAAGCTACAAGTCACTCCACAACCATCCCTTACTAACCACATCTATGTGAACCAGGCCTCCAACGTCATCCTGCTATGGAGTGGCAGCTCTTTCTGCAATTAGCCAAGAAGACTTACTGTCTACAAACAGTCTGCATTCCTCTTTCAGCTCTGTGGTTTGTTGGGCCACCTCTGGATCCAAAACCCTCAGTTTGTTCAGCTCATCAAAGTGGAGACCCGCCTCCCCTAGGATGTCTTTGGCCATTACGAACTCTTTGCAGGTGGCTGGAGAAAAGAATCAGGTTGGAGAAACATCAAGGTTCTGGTTCCAGAGAGGAGGAAAGAGCAGATCTTGGAGGATATTTTAGAAGTTCTTCCATATTTTGTAAAACTAAATAAGAAACCTTCCTGGAAATAAACAAGCAATACCCCCAACTCCCTTTTAATCCCATTTTTTTTAAATTACTGTTCATAATATTTACTAATGTAGATGATTATCCATAAGAATACTTTTCTTTTGCAATCTAGCAAGTGCAGTTTTTCTGGGTTTTCTCAGTAAGTCTGGCCACAAAGCTTATTCCAGAGTAAATGTGCTCAAGACTGCAGCTTGATTTGTGAAGATTGTGATCCTACACAACCGGCAATGAACAAAGTGATGTTGTCATCTATCACCTTAGGCCTCTAAATTGTGGCAGGTCCGACAGATGTTTACTGCTGAGAACACCACAAGCTGGAACAATAAGGAATATATTGCGAGACAGTTTTTTCCCTGGGCTTAAATCCCCTTTTGTTGGGAGGATTGGGGCAAGAGGTTACCCCAAATTGGTAAATTTTAAAATCTTTAATTATTGTGATGAATGGGGATTGCTATTCCCTTGGGAGGGGGGTGTTCCACAGTGTTTCACTATTCATATCCGCAATTTTTCATAAACTGGAGAAGACAATATCGAAAACTCTTAAAAACGGAGTTCCCTTCATCCCAACAGAGATGGGGAAAAAGGGGGCTCTCATTCCGGAAACACCAGTGCTTACAGCTTATCCCCCCCCCCACCTGATGTCCTCCAGATGTGACTCCCACAATTCCTAGCCAATTACACCTTGCCCCAAACAATTCTTTGTTTCCAGGAGCCACCCGACGCCATTCTCTACTATCGCTCCCTTGCAGCTGACACCTAATGGCTGCTCCTGAATCTGGAGGTTCCATCTCTAGGACATACAAGTAAGCAGCCTCCTCCACCTTCTCCTCCTTTTCTTTCCTACCTTATCCCCGACTTGAAGACCTCCCTACTTACCTGCAGGGACCCTAAATGTTTCCCCGGTGCCCCAAGCTCGCCGCCACTTTCAGCTGCCACGGCGACAGAAAAAACAGCAACAGCCGCCGCCGCCTCTGCCCCGCCCACACGGCATATCCCATGCGCTCGTAGGGGGAAGGGGAGCGCCGGCTTCGCTTGGCATTCTGGGAACCGTAGTTCGGTGGGAAGAATCCAAAGCGTAGGAAACGGTAGGGGTCGCAACGAAGCGGAGAGGGCACGAGACAGATGATGTCGGAGAAGGGCTTTCGATCTATGACCGCAAAGATCCCAGGCAGAACTCATTTCTCTATTCAATTTCTACAGCTTCCCATCTCAGCCAAGTGACTCTGGGTGGCTAGCAGTTATAGTATAACAGTAACAGAGTTGGAAAGGACCTTCGAGGTCATCTAGTCCAACCCCCTGCTCAAGCAGGAAACCCGATACCATTTCAGGCAAGTGGCTGTCCAGTCTCTTTTTAAAAACCTCCAGTGACGGGGGCACCCACAACTTCCGAAGGCAAGCCATTCCACTGGTTAATTGTTCTCACTGTTAGGAAATTTCTCCTTAGTTCCAGGTTGCTTCTCTCCTTGGTTAGTTTCCATCCATTGTTTCTTGTCCTGCCTGCAGGTGCTTTGGTAAATAAATTGGTCCCCACTTCCTTGTGGCAGCCCGGAGCTAAAATTGGAAAACAGTTAAAACAATTTAAAACAGTACAACAATAGAAACATTCAAAAAATAAATCCACGCAGCAGCCAAAATAGTGAACCAACTAACAGTAAGGCCAAAAAATGCGGCTATTAACATACACAGGTGCCCCTGTAAGCATGGGTGCCAGTCCCATCAATGGAGCCGTTTTCTCAAGCCACAACACACAGAGAGGGAAGCATGCATATTACAAAATTCACACAACACAAACAACCTGGTCAATTGAAACCTAGCAGCTGTAATTGCACAACATGATAAATCTGGTTTGTAGCTTTTGTAGCTTAGCATGTTAAAGCATGTAAGCCAACTTTGTTTCCTGACCGTGTTGAGTTAATCCAAAAAGGGTTTAATTCAATCAGTAGCTTAAACATATCGAGTAGAGTTTTCGATAACAAGTCAAGGAATATAAGGCTGGAGTCCTAACTGAATATTTTCTTAACCCAGGAACAAGCCTCAATCAGCTCAATTTTGAATAGAAAAACAGTCACGGGTAAAAGAAAAAGTTTTTTTTTACAGATTAGAAAAGTTGAAATCTTACACATTGTTATCTCGATTGGCCTAAGAAAAATATTGCCATATGTTGTCCAGATGTGTTGATTGGTAATGACAGGAGTCGAAATTCAACCGATACGGATTTTACCGACTTCTTTTAACGAGTAAACGCCTTTGCCATGATTTCCTGCCAGAAAACGCTCGATAGCTCCGGCTTCAGCAGGCGAAAGACTGCTGAATGGATGGCGAAAGACATTGCCGTGGCTTGTCGGGAGATGTAGTCCTGGTGGCCTTCGACAGCGTATATCGGGAATGGACGCCGGCGCGCGGGGCTTGCCGGGAGTTGTAGGCGGAGTTCTCGCGATTGGGAAGCCTGTTGCTGCAGCCCCAACTTGGAGCTTCTCTCTTTGGCCGGGATTGAGACGCTGAAGGCGCGGCGTGTGGCTCGGAGCCGGTTGAGGTCAGTTCCGCTCCTTTGCCCAGCCGTCGCTCGGAGGTCCCGCGGAGCCATTAGTGGCCTAGTCTGGGAGCAGCGCGGAACGGCTCAGAGGCAGGTAAAGAAAGAGCCAGCGGTTGGCAGGGCGAATGGGGTGGGAGGGCCCGTTTGGGACAAAGACGGGAAGTGAAATTGATTCTGTATTTGGGGACGAGAGGTTTGAGATAAAGCGAGGTAGGCGGGAGTAAGGGCAAGCTGGGTGCAAGAGTTTCCTTTTTGATTTATTTGTATAATTTATAGCCCCCCTCCCAACGACTCCCAACCTCTTTTAGCGTCGGTGGATAGGAGTCCGTCACATGCCGTTTTACACAGACTGGAGGTGGGGAAACGCTACACCTGTTGAAAGGCAGCCAAGAATTCAAACTCAGGAGGGGATGATGGTAGGGCCACTTAGTCATTTTGAATAAGATTGAAGAGGGAAATTACTGAATACCTGTTACGTTGGATGTTCTGAGCCTTCAAATGAGATGAAATGAAATATAGGGATTCTTCCCCGACTCCTGATCATATGGTAGTAGTATGCTAGCTTTGGTACACAGCCCCCAGTGAGCATTCAGAAGCAAGGATGCCCCTTTGCTTGAAAAAAGTTGGGCACCCTTCTGTAAATATAGCCAGGATGGTGTAGTGGTTAAAGCATTGGATCAGAACTGGGGAGGCTCAGCCAGATGTGTCTGGTAGGGTTGAGGGAACTCTTTGGGGATTAAAGGAAGGGAGCCACCTGGACAGAAGGTGAGATAGAAATCTAAATACAGGTAGCCCTCAAATTATGACAATAATGGAACTTGCCCATTGCAGTCGTAAATCGGGTCACCCACATGACTGACCTTTTTTGCAGTGGTTGTCATATGGCTGCAGGGGAGCGGGTGACTACTTGTAGTCGACTACTTGTAGTCCAAACCCTAAAACAGGGGTCTTCAAACTTGGCCCTTTTATGACTTATGGACTTCAACTCCCAGAATTCCTCAGCCAGCGTGCCTGGCTGAGGAATTTTGGGAGTTGAAGTCCACAAGTCATAAAAGGACCAAGTTTGAAGACCCCTGCCCTAAAAGAAAAAGCATGAACAGAAAATCAAATTTAAATAGAACAAAAGGAGCCTTGAGCAGGAGCTGTACAAAAGTAATTGGCCCTTTTGAACACCCCCCCCAAACTGAGTCCCAGCACGTACTGTATATATTCTTATAGTTTCAGTAGTTATTGGTTTACTAGGACAGTTTACATTTCCAGATTACCTTGATGCTGAACAACTAATTGGAAATGTTCAGACAGCAGTGTGAATGGTAACCTAAAATTGCTATACAGGAAGTCCACTTAACTTGAATTGAGATGACCAACTCGGTCATTGAGTGAAGTAGTTGCTAAGTGAAATATCATGATTTGATGGCCTCACTTCTGCTTCCTTTGGCTTTACAGACCTGTGAAGGTTGTAAACATGAGGATTGATTGCCAAATTAATTTTTCCATTAATGCTGTAACTGCGGTTGCTAAATTAGGCAGTCACTAAATGAAGACTACCTGTAAAAACTGCCAGTTTAAAACAGGACTGGAAAAGTAATTGTTATACCGCTTGTTAAAATATTCCATGAATCTGAAGACAAATTCATAAGGTATTTTGGTGTGTGTTTTTATATGCAGAATCAAAATCACTAAAGAAGGGGTTGACTTGAGGGCTTCCAGGTGTATTTGGATTACATGGCCCATCTTGCTGAGCCATTGCTGGTGATAGAAATTACCATACAAACATCAGAAGGGCAGCTTGCTAAGGTGCACGTTGATGGCTTTTTTTGCAGACATGGAGAACCAAGTTTATTAGTGTTAAAATGGACAATAGGTAGGATTGGTAACTGAATCTTGAAAAATGAGGCCAAATTTCAGCAGTGAGATCTGGAGGAGTTGCAGAACAAGCAAGCTGAGAGCATAAACTGCAGTATGGCTCCCATTTGTGCTATGTGGGGCCACAGGAGAAGACAGCTACATCTATAGCGTTTATGAACTGGCGATGAAGAATTCCCCAGAATGCTTAGCCATGATGTATCTTAAGGACTGAAGCATTGGATTTAGATGGGGGAGAGCTGGATTCAAGTCTATCCAAAGGGGCTCAGCCAAAGAAATTATTTGAATGTCTTTGGCTTTATGTCTCTTGCTCAGCTGTCCTGCAACTAGGCCACAGTGGAAGACCTCATCTGTTGCCGGATGAAAATGTAATAAAACATTTAATTCTCTTCCTGGCTGCTCTTCCTTCCTTGTTGAAGCCAAGCTTGGGGTTGCAAAATTATTAAACTATAATTTTTTTTCACCAGAGGCTTGAAGCAGGATTTTCAATGGGAAGGAAAGGGCCCCACTGGACAAATGAGCATTTCACTCTGAAAATGGCCAGGAGAAAGACTGAGTTTGTGACCTCTGGTGGAGAGGTGGCTCTTTTGTGGGCTGAGCGATGGAAGAAACAAACACTGCTACCTTTTAGAATTCTGTCTCATAGGTAGTCCTCGCTTAGCGACTGCCTCGCACGGAGCTATTTGCAATTAGGATGGTGATGGAAAAAGTAACTTTGGGGCCAATCCTTGCACTGACAATTTTTGCAGGTCTCTAAAGCCAAGGAAAATTTGAATAAAATTGTAAAATCACAATGTTTTACTTAGCAACCTCTTCATTTAATGACCAAGTTGCCAGTCCCAATTATCACAAAATGAGGACTACCTGTATTTATCAAATTGAGAAAAGTAGCTTCAGGACAGTCGTTGGATCTTGGCACACTCTGGCATCCTCAGTGTATCAAAATAGGACACAAAATTGGGAAGACCAGTCATAAGTCATTTTTCCTGGTACCGTTGTAACTTCAAATGGATGCTAAATGAATGGTTGTGTTGAGGACTACCTGTGAATCCAGGGGGCTCCAATTGTGATAAAACTTCCAGCACCCTTGGCATGGTCAGTACAAGTAGTTCTCAACTTAGGACCACAATTGAGCCCAAGATTTATGTTGTTAAGTGCGACATTAAGTGAATTTTGCCCCATTTTACAACTTTATTTACCTCAGTTGTTAAGTGAATCACTGCAGTTGATCAATTAGTAACACAGTTGTTAAGTGAATCTGGCTTCCCCATTGATTTTGCTTCTCAGAAGATCGCAAAAGGTGATGACATGACCCCAGGACACTGCGACCATCATAAATATGAACCAGTTGCCAAGCATCTGAATTTTGATTACATGACCAGGGGGATACTACAAAGGTCGTAATTGTGGGGAAAAAAGTCACTTTTTTCAGTGCCATTGTAACTTTGAATGGTCACTAAATGAACTGTTGTATGTTAAGGACTAGTGACAAGTGCCACATTCCCATCTCTCCGTCTTTGCAGCTCAAATCCGATTGTTTTTATGGCCATTTTTTTCCAGTTTGGTGATCTGCCATGATCTTTCCTGAATGCCATCCAGTTGGCACTTGCTGGTGCTGTTGAAAACAGAAACTGGTTGTGACGCTGGGTATTTCCAGTTTATTACTTTTTATAAAGGACAGTTAAAAAGTTTTTAAAAAGCCAAAGTCCAACGGGGAGGAAGGAAAGGAAATGTTCCTATTGTTTGAGAGAGGCTGAGTCAGTCCCCTTGCGTCATCCTTCAGGGCAGGACGGTGTGTGTGTCTGTGTGTGCCCCATTTTCCTGCCGCCTCTCTCAAATGCAGTGATTGAGCTCTGGACTTTGGTTTCCTGTCCAGAAGATAGTTCAGGATTGCCTTGGTTGCGGATACGGCTTTAAACAACAGGTACTTTTCTTTTCCTTCATTTCTGAAGATCATTTTTATATTCCAGGTACACTCTTAGATGGACTGGTTAGATTGTGACATCCCATTAAATTTAAGCAAAGATTAATTGCCATTTACAAGGGGGGAAAAAGCCCCTTCCTCTTTGTCTTCAATCTGAATGAGAACCTCTTTTGAATGTTTCTTGAAAACAGGAAGTGTGTTTATTTTTTCAAAGCTTCATATCTTTCGTAATTTGTCTGATCAGGGGATCTGTGTGTGATTATATACGTGTCTGTCTTCTATTTAAATCTACTTTTTCTATATTCTTTAACCTGGGAGAAAAAGAAGTTGACTCTTTAGTCTATTTGATACCATTCAGGTACTGGACTTTGTTAAGATGGTCTGAACGGCTCTTTATATTTTGAAACTAATACTTTCCATAAGATGGAAAATGTATTTTTATTGGCACTGCCTTAAACTGCATTTATCCTTTTTAGTATGTGATATTGCCTATCTATGTTCAGCTTGTGATCTGTAAATGTCTAAGATCTTTTTCACATAAACTGTTCCCCAGTTGGACTTATTGTCTGCTATACAGGTAAGTCCTCAACTTACTCCCATAACTTGAGTCTGGAATTACAGTCATAAGTCATGACAGTCGTTAAGCAGGACTCCATGTGATCATGCCTGATTTTACCACCTTTTTTGTGATGGTTGTTAAACCCGTTATAGGTAGGCCTCAACATACAACAGTTCATTTAGTGACTGTTCAAAGTTACAACGGTACTGAAAAAAGTGATTTATGACTGTTTTTCATACTTAAGACTGTTGCAGCTTCCCGAGGGTCATGTGATCCAATCCAGCCGCTTGGCAACTACCGTATATGCCGGCGTATTAGGCGACCCGGCGTATAAGACGACCCCCGTCTTTATAGCCGGGCCGCATTCCTAGAACGTCGTCTTATACGCCGGAAACTACCAGTATTTCCGGCGTATAAGACGACTCGGCGTATAAGACGACCCCCGTCTTTGGCGCCGATTTCAGCGCTCGCGGAAGTCGTCTTATACGCCGGCATTTACGGTAACTCATATTTACGATGGTGGCAGTGTCCCAGGGTCATGGGATCCCCTTCTGAAAAACAAAATCAATGAGGAAAGCAGATTCACTTAACAGCCATATTATTAACTTAACAACTGCAGGGATTCACTTAAGAACTTTGGCAAGAAAGGTCGTAAAATGGAGCAAAACTCACTTAACAAATATCCTGCTTAGCAACAGAAATTTGGGGCTTAGTTATGGTTGTAAGTCAAGGACTATCTGTATAAGCAATGGGCGTGTTTGCCGGAAACTGGAAGTAAATGCTGGTTTCTGGGGAAAAAAGGTACATCGTGGTCACGTGACCATGGGATGCTGCATATGGTTGTAAAAGTAGGACGGGTTGCCCAGCATAGGGTGTGTAGGTGTGTGTGTATCCATCAGAACTTTGAAAGTGGATTGTAAGTTACCTGGGGAAGGCATAACTTCAAACAGTCATAAGTTGAGGACGACTTGTTCTTACACTATACCTGTGCATTGACTTTCTTTTTGCTCCAGGACGAATCCTGCATCAATTTCCCTCAATTTTCTCTGTGGTTTTCATCCATTTCGCTAAACAATCCAGATGCCTGTGAATTTTCTTTGTTGGTTCTCTTATTAGCTGTCTCGCATTGGCTTAGCCCAGGGGTAGGCAACCTTGGCTCTTTTATGACTCGTGGACTTCAACTCCCAGAATTCCTGAGCCAGCCACGCTGAGGGAAAAGGGAGAGGTTTCCATGCTGAGCCATGCTGGCTCAGGAATTCTGGGAGTTGAAGTCCACGAGTCATAAAAGAGCCAAGGTTGCCTACCCCTGGCTTAGCCTCATCTGCCACTTTGACAGTTTTTCCTTTTGCCTTCATTCACATCATTAATGAAAAAACATTGAGAGGTTACAGGAAGTCCTTGACTTAAAACAGTTTGTTTAGTGATCGAAGTTACAACAGCACTGGAAAAAAAGCGACTCATGACCATTTTTCACACTTATGATCTTTGCAGCATCCCCATGGTCACGTGATCAAAATTTGGGCGCTTGGCAACTGACATGTATCTATGGAGATTCTCAGTCCGCTCAAGGAGCTGAAGAAGGTTCTTGGATGAGAAGCGAAACATCTTCAAAGAAAACGAAGCCCAGTTGCCTTGTGAAAAAGTATCTTTGGGACAACTGACTCATATTTACGACGGTCGCAGTGTCCCGGGGGTCATGTGATCCTCTTGGGACCTTCTGACAAGCAAAGTCAATGGGGAAGCCAGATCATGTTACTAATTTAACAGCTGCAGTGATTCACTTAACAACTGTGGCAAGAAATGGAGCAAAACTCACTTAACAACTTCCTCACTTGCTGCAAGAAAAAATTTGGGCTCAGTTGTGATCGTAAGTCGAGGACTACCTGTGTCCAACCCAGGACTGAGCCTTAAGTTATCTTTCTTGAAGCTTTCCTCTTGTTTGAACTATTTACAAGTGCTATTTGAGAATGATTTTCCAGCCACTTGGGAGTCTGCCATCCAGTTCATACTTAACTGATTTCAGAATGTTTTAATATTTATTCCTGACAAATAATTGTAATAATCATTATGCTGATTTCAAATGATTCCAGCTCTGGTGCTTTACAGGTAGTCCTCAACTTACAACCGTAATTACAGCAGTAAGTCATGGTGGTCATTAAGCAAATCACCACATGACCGTGCCCAATTTTACAACCTGTATTGCAGTGGTTGTTAAGTGAATCTGTTTTCTTCAGTGGACTTTTTTTTCCCTTGAAAACTGGAAGTCAATGCCGGAAACCCACAAAAAAACACCAAAAATAGCAGTCATGTGTTTGTGGGATGCTGCAAATGGCTGTAATTGTGAGCCAGTTGCCAAGCACCCAAAATGTGAACTCATGACCCTGAGGAGCTGTGTGTGTGGCTATCGGAACTCCAGAATCAGCTTGTAAGTAACTGGGAAAGTCTGTCAGAACTTTAAAGGATCACTAAACAACAGGACATTAAGCGAGGACTGCCATTACAAGCTGCTCAAAAATCCTAAAAAATGATTTCCTGGAAACACTGCTTGACCTGCTCTAAAAAGGAACCTGGAGCTCAACCAGGAAGGCTTTGCTCCTAGTTGTTTTCCTGATCTCCCATGGAGATGGGCCAATGTGTACACTGGGTCTCAGTTATGAAGAATGCTCAGGTTTCAATAATTAGAAATCTCTATTTTTGTAGCAATGCTTCTGATCTCTTCTTACAACATGCTAAACCAGGGATGGCAAACCTTTTAGAGACCAAGTGCCCAAACTGCAACCCAAAACTCACTTATGCATCGTCCGGTGCCTGGTGGGTGTGACCCATTGGGTGGGTGTGCCCCATGGGGTAGGCGTGGCTGTGGTGATAACTGCAGACTGGGTGGGACTAAAAAGTTCAATTCCAACTTTGCAAGATTTTTTTTTTCCCATGAGAAGTTGAAATTGACTCATTGATTGAACCTTTTTTTTTTTTTTCACACAGCAGCGGAGGCCTAAAGTGAAAAGGTTTTATAAAACCCAGATGAAGGCCTGGGACTGGGGTGACGGCATGTGTGCCCACAGAGAGGGCTCTGAGTGCCGCCTCTGGCACCCGTGCCATAGGTTTGCCATCACTGTGCTAAACTATAACATGGCTTCATAGTTTTTGGCAAAGAGGGTTGCAGGATCCAGGCAAGATGGTTGATAAAATGGGCTTTTCCTCTGAACGTGTGGTGGGAACCCAGTCCAACCCAATCCAACCCAATCTAGTTTAATGAAGAGAAGGACGAGGGGGGACGTGATAGCTGTGTTCCAATATCTCAGGGGCTGCCACAAAGAAGAGGGATTCAAGCTATTCTCCAAAACACCTGAAGGCAGGGCAAGAAGCAATGGATGGAAACTAATCAAGGAGAGAAGCAACCTAGAACTAAGGAGAAACTTCCTGACAGTTAGAACAATTAACCAGTGGAACAACCTGCCTCCGGAAGCGGTGAATGCTCCAACACTGGAAGTTTTTAAGAAGAAACTGGACAGCCATTTGTCCGAAATGGTATAGGGTTACCTGCCTGAGCAGGGGGTTGGACTTGATGACCTCCAAGGTCCCTTCCAATGTTGTTGTTGTTGTTATTTCAACCGACAACCAGTTAAACAAATCTCTTTTCTCTCTCTTCTGCTTTTAGAGTCTCTCAGCTCTGGGGCTTGCAGCTTCCAAGGAGTTCTTGAATCCAGTTGGAGACCCGCACAGCTTTCCCTTCCAACCACGGCGGAGTCGGTCAAACCCACCCACTGCCGTGTTGTGATCTATTTGCAGAAGGAGATGTCTGGTGACACCTGCTTAACAAACCTCTGCCCTGCTTCAGGAGCAAAGCCGAAGAGGTGCAGCTCCAAAGTCGGCACTCTTGGCAATAAGTATGTGCGGCTCAATGTCGGGGGCTCCTTGTACTACACCACCGTGCAAGTGTTGACACACCATGACACCATGCTGAAAGCTATGTTCAGCGGAAGAATGGAGGTGCTCTCCGACAAGGAAGGTGGGTGCTGATAGAAACCTGCAAAGCCGAGTGCCTATAAGCCCGTCCTTCAAAACATGCCACCAGCTCCCTTTCTAATCTGAACTCTATAATCCAGGATAATTTAGCCTTACAAGAAGTCCTCAACTTGCGACCACTCATTTAACAACCATTCAAACTTACGACAGTATTGGAAACTTTTGACCCTGGAAACTTCTTCTGGTCACATGATCACCAGTTGAGACCTTCCCCAGGGGGCTTCTGACTAGCAAAGTCAGTGGGGCAAGGCAGATTTGTTAACCACATCAAAATAATCATAAGATGGGGTGTGGCTTACTTCATGTCCACAGTACAGTGACTGAAGTTTTGCTCCCACTTGTGGTCGTAAGTTAAGGATTGCCTATACTCACCTGCAGGGGAGTGTTTGCATTGGATAAATATGGGCTTTGGTGTCAGCCAGAAGGAAGGCAGTTGGGCTTTTCTCAAATATTCATTGAAATCCACACCTCTTCCAGGTGCTGAGGTAGAAAAACACTGGGTTAAGGCATCAGGGTAGAAACAAGGAGATCATGAATTCTAGTCCTGCCCTAGGCACAAAGCCAATCAGGGGAGCTTGAGCCAGTCACATGCTCTCTGCCCTAGGAAGGAGACAATGGCAAGCCGAAGTGGCGCAGCAGTTAGGGTGCAGTACTGCAGGCCACTTTAGCTGACTGTGTTCAGCAGGTCAGCGGTTCAGATCTCACCGGTTCAAGGTTGACTCAGCCTTCCATCCTTCCAGGGTAGGTAAAATGAGGACGCAGATTGTTGGGGGCAATGTAAATATATATATATACATTGCTTACTGGTGTACACCGCTTAGAGAGTGCTCGCACTTAAAGCGGTATATAAGTCTCATAAATAAATAAATAAGCCACTTCTGAAAGACTTTGCCAAGAAAGCTGTGGGGACTTGTTCAGGCAGTCTTTTAGAGTTGGACACAACTGAACAGGAAAGCAAAGTCATACATAAGGGCTGCAACTGAGATATGTCTTCCTCAGTAGATGTTTTTATGGACAGGTGTTAAGTCGACATGATTGAGAGGTTCCGAGTGCTTATAAAAACAGACTTTGCACATTAGGTAGGTTTGACTCTCTGCTTTCTGAGAAGTTTTGCACTCAGGACCCCTGTCCTGCCTTGTGTCCATTTGTTTTAGAAAAGCAAGCATAATTAGAGCGGGGTGGTAAACTTGACTAGCTTAACCCTCTGTCACTTACTTTAGTTTCAAGATAAAATGAAAATATTCATGCTTTGCGGTTTTGCATTTTCGCCAACCGTGTCTCCGGCTGCTCTTGTAAAATATTCTATTGGGAAACAGGATCAGTTATGTTTGTGGATCATCTCTGGTGGGAGCAGGATGGGCTGATGCATCCATTTTGATCTCCCAGCACAGGCATTCCTCTGTATTGGTTCCAAAGGTTGGGAATGGGAGATACAGCTTTGTGTTGGTTCTCCTCTTTCTTTGAGTTCTAGTTGGCGTCGGGACAGGTAGTCCTCCACTTACAATCACAACTGAGTCCAAAATTTCTGTTGCTAAGTAAGATATTGAGTTTTGCCCAATTTTTTGATGACCTTCCTTGCCACAGTCAAGGACTACCTGTAAATCTAATTAATTAAAGTTATAATTGGCCTCTTCTGAGATTTGTTTGGAATTATCACCCAAGACTAGGCAAGTTTTCATACTCCTGCGAGTCTTCCTGGTGGAAAACGAAGCTCTGCGGGGTGATATATTTTTCCACCTGCTTTGCTTAAAACCCAAGGTCTCCTGTTTCTTTCCCAGGCTGGATCCTGATCGACCGCTGTGGGAAGCATTTTGGAACCGTCTTAAATTACCTTCGGGACAACACGGTCACTCTACCCAAGAACCGGCAGGAGATCAAGGAGCTGATGGCCGAAGCCAAATATTACCTCATCCAGGGCTTGGTGGACCTCTGTCAAGCTGCCTTGCAGGTAAGGGAGCTGCACACGCTGAATGGTAAAAGCTCAAGAGAAGGAAGGGACCCTGTAGGTCATCCAGCTCAACCCTTTTGCCCAAGGCAAGAATCCTACTCGAAAAAGGTCCTTGATAGGTGACTAGTGTATATTTAAAGTTCTCTGGGTAAGGACAGACTGAAGTCTCCCATGTAGATGATTATTCTAGAGACGGGGGCCTTTGTGCCGCCCCCCCCCCGCCCAGTCTGAATTTGAGGGCTTCAAACCTCCCCCCCCCCAAATGGACTACAAAACTTTCAGGCATTCTGTTCTCATGTTTTCAATCTTTAAAGCCTTCACTCTCTTAAAACTCTGAAGAGGTTCCTCAGATATTTGTTGGAGCCGTTCTCACGCCTTCTTTGAAAAGTGTGTGTGTGTGTGAGGGGGGAATTAATCAAAATTCTCTGCAAGGCTTAAGACATAAATTATGTCCTCCAGTAGCCGCCTCCTCAACACCTTGGCAAAAAAAAAAAAGAAAGAAAGAAAAGCCAGATATGCTTTCTAACTTAAATCTTCATTTCTGCCATTCAGAACAATGGGATTCCAGAGGCAGTGGCAGTCTACCCTGCTTTAATCTGTCCGGATGTGTGCAATTCTGTTTGCAGGACAAGAAAGAGACCTACTATCCTCTCTGCAATATCCCTGTCATCACGTCTCCAAAAGAGGAAGAGAGACTCATTGAATCCACCATGAAGGTATTGGGGGGGGGGGAAACGAGGAGGAAAAGGGCGGTTCCACACGTTACACTAAAGTAGAAGGTTCAGTATGTGGTCTGCCCTTTTTGTCTGAATACAAGTAGTCCTTGACTTAACAACCATTCATGTAGTGACCGTTTGAAGTCACAACAGCACTGAAAAAAGTGACTTACATCCAGTCCTCGCACTTATGAATGTCACAGCAGCCCCGCCCAGTCATGGGATGGAAATTCAGGCACCAGCATTGTATTTTTGACAATTGCAGCGTCCCGGGATCATGTGATTGCCCTTTGCAACCTTCCCAGCCAGCTTCAGGCAAGCCAAGTCACAGGGGGAAACTGTATTTGTTTAATGACCATGTGATTCACTTAACTGCAGTGCTTCACTTAACAACCATGGCAGAAAGCTGATAAAATTGGGGGCAACTCACTCAACCACACCTTGTTTAACAGTGGAAAGTCTGGTCCAGTTGTGGTCATAAGTTGAGGACTATATCATCTATCTATCTATCTATCTATCTATCTATCTATCTATCTATCTATCTATCTATCTATCAATCATATATCTTTAAAAAGCAAAATTTGCTTAACTGCAATGATTCACTTAAGAACTGACAAAAAAGATTGTAAAAGCTGCCTTGTTAAAATTCTGCTTCTAATTGTGGTTGTAAGTTGTGGGCTACCTGGAGATTTATTAGGATTGCTTGACCCAAGACGTCACTTAAAGCAGCATTTCAATCTTTCAGAAACCCCAAAACCTCTTAACACAAGGATCTTGACATCCAGCTTGGTGTGGTCCTTGATCTAATGGAGGGTAAGCACTGCCTGCCCTAAGCCAGAGTCACACCAAGCCCGATTTGGCACCATATGTGAAGTCTTGAGGCTGGGCATTTGAGGCTGGGCATTTGAACTTTGTCATGAGGAAGAGGAAAAAAAGGAGGCTCCATTAAGCTTTTAAATATGCAATTGAACACCTCCTAAAGTTGATATAAATATCTGAAGAAGGAACGTGATTTACCCTTTTCAGCTCAAGGTTTTCAAGTTTATGGCAGATAAAACCACTTTTATTATTTTTGGACTCTGCTGTTTGGCAAGTCATAAATGTGGCAGAATTTGTTGGAGGTAGATAGAATTAATGGTGCAAAGTAGACTGGATTCCCCATTGTTCCTCTTCTCTTTCTGCTCCAATTAAGATTCCCCAATATAGGAAATAATCTCTTTCCTTCCTTCTTTCCTTCCTTCCTTCTTTCCTTCCTTCCTTCTTTCCTTCCTTCTTTAGTTCATTCTTTAGTTCATTCTTTAATTCATTCGTACATTCATTCAAGAAAATTTACATGCTCTTCCAACCCACTCTCAGTGACTCTGGACAGTTTGCAAGGATAAAGTATATTGTTATATTTGTTTATTTGGAGCTACTCCAGGAACATCCCCGTGAAGGGCAAAAAAGTCAAGATGGCATCTATGCCTTTGTCTCCTCCCTCCACAGAAGCCACAGAGCTGTTCAACAGCACTTTAAAAAAAAAAAAAATTCCCAGCGAGGAAAGCTGTACAGACTTTTGAGTCTCATCTATGTCAAATGGCCTCCTAAAGGAGTTTAATAAGCTTTTAAAAGAATTAGATGGTTAAACTTTTTCTGGACTGAATTGCAGATAGTCCTCAATTATACCACCAAAATGGACTCGCCGTTTACAGTCCTATGCTGTGATGTTGTAAGTCACATGACCGACTTGATTTTGCCACCTTTCATGCAGTGGTTGTAAAAGGAATGCTGTGGTTGTTAAAGCAACCCATTGTTCGCTATGGCCTGGTGTTGCTGAAAACCAGAAGTAACTTTGTTTTTCAAGCAAAAATGTCGTAAACCACGGTCACTATGGAACGCTGCAAACAGCTGTAAATGCAGCCGTGTTGCTGAGCACCCAGAAGTTCAGAACTGGGTAATAATTCCGTCTTTTCCAGTAGGTCATAACTCAAAGACTACCCATACTTCAGATGGGCTATGCTTGAATGGTCCTGTTTGATGTTGAAGACCAAATTTTGGATAGATCTTCCTTTATGAAATAGAAGCCACGAGAAAGAATTCCAGTTTCCAGTTCTCTTTTTTGTCTTCTGTCCCCCCACCCCTCACACATTCCTGATCAGATGGTTTCCCATCTCCCTGGGTTGCGTAAGTGTCCTGGCCCAAAAGGAAAGTTCAGAATTGCTTTCTTGGAATGAAACCAAGGTCCATGCATGTCTTGGGAATCTGCATTTTCCATCAGTGTTGGAGGACTGTTTTCCCACCCTCTGACCATTAATGATAATAATAAAGTCGGAAGGGACCTTGGAGGCCATCTGGTCCAACCCCCTGCTCAGGCAGGAAACCCTATACCATTTCAGACAAATGGCTGTCCAGTCTCTTCTTGAAACCTTCCAGTGTTGGAGCATTCACCGCTTCTGGAGGCAGGTTGTTCCACTGTTAATTGTTCTAACTGTCAGGAAGTTTCTCCTTAGTTCTAGGTTGCTTCTCTCCTTGATTAGTTTCCATCCATTGCTTCTTGCCCTGCCTTCAGGTGTTTTGGAGAATAGCTTGAATCCCTCTTCTTTGTGGCAGCCCCTGAGATATTGGAACACAGCTATCACGTCCCCCCTCGTCCTTCTCTTCATTAAACTAGATTGGGTTGGATTGGGTTGGACTAGGTTCCCACCACACGTTCAGAGGAAAAGCCCATTTTATCAACCATCTTGCCTGGATCCTGCAACCCTCTTTGCCAAAAACTATGAAGCCATGTTATAGTTTAGCACAGTGATGGCAAACCTATGGCACGGGTGCCAGAGGCGGCACTCAGAGCCCTCTCTGTGGGCACACATGGAGAATAGCTGGACTCCCTCTTCTTTGTGGCAACCCCTGAAATATTGGGACACTGCTATCATGTCCCCCCTCGTCCTTCTCTTCATTAAACTAGACATACCCAATTCCAGCAACCGTTCCTTATATGTTTTAGCCTCCAGTCCCCTAATCATCTTTGATGCTCTTTGTACTCTTTCTAGAGTCTCAACATCCTTTTTACATTGTGGTGACCAAAACTGGATGCAGTATTCCAAGTGTGGCCTTACCAAGGCATTGTAAAGTGGTATTAACATTTCACATGATCTTGATTCTATCCCTCTGTTAATGCAGCCTAGCACTGTGTTGGCTTTTTTGGCAGCTGCAGCACACGGCTGGCTCCTTTTTAAGTGATTGTCCACTAGGAAAATCGACCAGGCTGATCTCAGGGTTATCTGAAAAGGAGCAGGTTCCCCTCCCGGGGTGTAAGCAGATACAGCTACCAGCAAATTTATCTCTGGCTTCCAGAAATAGACTGCCAGAGTTATACAGAGTTATAACCATTCATTTAGTGACCGCTCGAACTTACAATAGCACTGAAAAAAGTGACTTAGGACCATTTTTCACACTTACGACTTTTGCAGCCTCCCCATGGTCCCATGATCAAAATTCAGATGCTTGGCAACTGGCATGTATTTAAAACAGCTGCAGTGTCGTTGGGTCATGTGATCATTCTCCCAGCTGGCCTTTGGCAAGCAAAGTCAATGAGGGGAGCCAGATTCACTTAATGACCGTGGGTCTCACTTAACAGCTGCAGTGATTTGCTTAACCGTGGCAAGAAGGTCATACAATGAAGCGACACTCAATCACTGCTTTGCTTAATAACAGAAGTTCTGGTCTCAGCTGTGGTCGTAAATTGAGGATGACCCTTACTGGGAAACTGGAGGCCTGGCAAGATTACCCCCAAGGCTTGTTTTTCTCCTCCTTGCCTGTGCAAAGCACCCGAGTCAGGAATGGGGGTTTCAGGTTTCCATAATGACCTGGGGATGTTGAGTACTTCCGTTTCCAGAGAATTGTGGGATCTACCACAGTGAGTCTCCACAAGCTGCTGATGACACCCACGGCACAAAGTTTGATGTTCTCTCTTCTGCCTGCATTGATACCTCTTTTCTCTCCCTTGTTTTCAGCCAGTGGTGAAGCTCCTTTATAACCGAAGTAACAACAAATACTCCTATACAAGGTAAATATCTCTCTTCTCTGTGCAAATGTGAAACTTAAAAGACAAAGCTTGGAATGCTGGCCGTAGGATGCTCCAATCCACCCTTCTGTTCCTGCGGGGATCCACCAGTTGAATCTAGGAAGACCCCAAACAGACCTAAAAGCTCTGTAACACTATGCAGATATGCCGAAAGATAATATATTCCTTATATGTGTTTGAATAGACCCACGTTGTATTCCAGGGAATATGTGAACCCATCAATCTCTTGCATGGTTATAATTCAGAAGGAAAAAAATTGAAGATCTAGGGTTGCTCCTCCAGAATTTGCCACTACGCTGTATTTTTAAAGAAGGGACCATTCTTAAATCTGTAGAAAATCCTATTTGTTATAATTATTTTGGTTGTTCACGTTTGCTGGAAATTTACGTAGTCTTTATGCCGGTTCGGTCTACTGTGTGGAATGCACAACAAAGCTTGTTGCTTAATTAATATCCTTCAGCCAGAAGAAAACGGCAGGTTCCTGGTTTAATTTCTCACTGTTTAATTTCTCATTCTTTATCATTAAGTTATCCAGATCTGGCTCTTTCCCCTCTCCTAAGCATTAAAACCCAGTTGAGTTGGTGGTCCCTGCTGTGGTGGTTTTGATGTCTTGTGTGTGGTTGCCATTTTACAAATATATGTATTTCTTTATATATATTATATATTTTCTTTATATATGTGTATATATATATATGTGTGTGTGTGTATATGTGTGTCTATATGCATATGTTAACAATAATGTTGGAAGGTACTTTGGAGGTCATCTAGTCCAACCCCCTGTTCAGGTAGGAAACCGTATACCATTTCAGACAAATGGCTGTCCAGTCTCTTCTTAAAAACTTCCAGTGTTGGAGCATTCACCGCTTCTGGAGCAGGTTGTTCCACTGGTTAATTGTTCTCACTGTCAGGAAGTTTCTCCTTAGTTCTAGGTTGCTTCTCTCCTTGGTCAGTTTCCATCCGTTACTTCTTGTCCTGCCTTCAGGCGCTTTGGAGAATAGCTTGACTCCCTCTTCTTTGTATACACACACACATGGTATATTTATTTATTTATTTATTTATGAGACTTATATACCGCTTTAAGTGCAAGCACTCTCTAAGCGGTGTACACCAGTAAGCAATGTATATATATATATTTTACATTGCCCCCAACAATCTGGGTCCTCATTTTACCTACCCCGGAAGGATGGAAGGCTGAGTCAACCTTGAGCCGGTGAGATTTGAACCGCTGACCTGCTGAACACAGTCAGCTAAAGTGGCCTGCAGTACTGCACTCTAACTGCTGCGCCACCTCGGCTCTTATATAATACATTAAAAATAGTCTTCATTTATGATTGGTCTCTTAGCAACTGTTCATAGTTACAATGGACGTATGAAAAGGTACTTATGACCCAGTTCTGGAATTCCAACAGCCACTGCCCCCTCCCCCCCACCGTTACATGTCTGCATTTTGGGGGCGTTCAGCAACCAGCCCGTCTTTACTGCCATTTGCAACCTCCCACAGTCACATGACCATGATTTCTGATGTTTTTGCTGGAGTCTGGCATTTACTTCCAGTTTTGAGCCAAACCTACCCGTAGCGAACATAAGAGAACAGCCATGGCAGTTGCTTAACAATTGCCTCAAAAAAAGGCTTGCAAAATTGGGTGTGGTCACGTGGTTACCTTGGGTTTACAACCAGTATGACTTAACAACCATAATTACAGGCTCAGTCATAAGTTGAGGACACGACCTGTTACATGCATTGGATGTAACATACTGCAAATAGATATAATTTACAATATAAAATATAAAGTGTACATTTTAAAAGTAAAATAAATTTTGCATTTTGTAAGTCAAAAGGATGTCTGGGGGAGAATAGGAATTTGTCAGATTCAGCCCCCTTAGCAGTCAGTTATTAAACAGAAAAGTTCTCTTACTATAGCAAAGCAGTTGTACTCAGAGTCTTCAATCAGAACTTGGCAAAGTAATCCTAGGCACAGATCCTAGGCCAGGGGTAGGCAATCTTGGCTCTTTTATGACTCGTGGACTTCAATTCCCAGAATTCCTGAGCTGTCATGGCTCAGCATGGAAACCTCTCCCTTTCTTCTCAGCATAGCTGGCTCAGGAATTCTGGGAGTTGAAGTCCACGAGTCATAAAAGAGCCAAGGTTGCCTACCCCTGTCCTAGGCGCTTTAAGATATAGTCAGTCTTTCAAAGCAGCAGACAAGATTACTTTGCCACTGACTAACCTTTAAAAGTATTAATTTGTGTGGTTTATCTACCTGTCCATGACAATTCTCTGGTCAAAGTACAAGGTAAAAAGTTATTAATTATGGTAGCAGCAGTAAAAAAAATGCAGCTACTGCTATTTAAAGTAAATAACAAGATTGTTGCAGTAGCCGTGAGAAATTAGAGCTAAGGATTAACTGGTGTTTGGACACAATTTCCCCTGTTTTGTAATCCATCTAGGACTGTACTGTGGGACTAAATTCCAGATAGTCCTTGACCTACAACCATTCATTTAGTGAACGGTCATTAAGTCGAGGACTACCTGTAATTTGAAGTTAATGCTGGTGCAAAAAAAATTATTTACCACCAGTCCTCATCCTTAATGACCATCACAGTGTCTCCATGGTGTCCCCATAGTCACCGGATCATGATTTGGGCATATGACAACCAGCTTCTATTTTTTTGCAGTGCCCTGGGATTACATGATCATTGCTTGCAACTTTTCCAGCCAGTTTGGAGTAAACGTCATCACTCAATGCCATCCCTCAGTGATGGGATCATGACGTGATTGGCTTAAGGAGCATGTCAAGAAAGATCATAAAACCAGTGCAGTCACATGATGCTCAGTTAATGAAGCGCATCACTTAGCGACGGCAGTCCCAATCCAAACTATGGTCCTAAGTCGAGGGCCACCAGGCATAGTATTAATACCACTTTACAATGCCTTGGTAAGGCCACACTTGGAATACTGCATCCAGTTTTGGTCACCACGATGTAAAAAAGATGTTGAGACTCTAGAGAGAGTACAGAGAAGAACAACAAAGATGATTAGGGGACTGAAGGCTAAAACATACAAGGAACGGTTGCTGGAATTGGGTATGTCTAGTTTAATGAAGAGAAGGATGAGCGGGGACATAATAGCAGTATTCCAATATCTCAGGGGCTGCCACAAAGAAGAGGGAGTCAAGCTATTCTCCAAAGTGCCTGAAGGCAGGGCAAGAAGCAACGGGTGGAAACTAATCAAGGAGAGAAGCAACCTAGAACTAAGGAGAAACTTCCTGACAGTGAGAACAATTAACCAGTGGAACAACTTGCCTCCAGAAGTGGTGAATGCTCCAACACTGGAAGTTTTTAAGAAGAGACTGGACAGCCATTTGTCCGAAATGGTGTAAGGTTTCCTGCCTGAGCAGGGGGTTGGGCTAGATGACCTCCAAGGTCCCTTCCAACATCATCATCATCATTATTATTATTATATCCAAAGGAGCCGTCTCTTCCACTGCAGGCAGAAACATTCAGCCAACAGCTACTTGTGTGAACATTTTCCTTGCTCTTTTTGTCATTATTGAATTTCTGTTGTCTTACTCACCAGAAAGCCCATTTTTTTTCACCCTGATCTGGTGGATACATTTGGAATGCTTAAAATATGGGGAATTTGCTCCAAGGTAAACTGCTGGGACACCCCCCCCTCCCAAAATACACACTCCCCCAAATCTTTTTTTCTTTTTCCTTTTGGGTCAGGAGTATGTTTCCTGATGAAGCCCCTGCCGTTTTTATTTCCCAGGAATAACAGTAGAGCCAGAGGCTGGAGTTCTTTTATGCCAATCTCTGAGTAGATTCTTTTAGTTTGTCTACAGGGTGGTCCTTGATTTACGAACACAAATGAGTCCTGAATTTCTGAAGCTAACAAAACAGTTGTGAGGTTTGCCCCATTCTGGTCTGTTTTTTTTTGCCCAGTGCCAGAGCTGCCACAACAATAGAAGCAAAGACGAAGCTCAGTCACCAGCTGGCGCACTTAGCACGTGAGGACCTCTGCGTTCCTCGGCTTACGACCATTCGTTTAGTAACGCTTCAAAGTTCAGCAGCACCCAAAAAAAGGGACGGCCATTTTTCATACTTATGACTTGCAGCATCCCCAAGGTCATGTGATAGATGGTTCATATTTAGGACGGTTGCAGTGTCCCGGGATCATGTGATCACTTTTTGCGATGCTCTGACCAGCAAAGTCAATAGAGGAAGCCAGATCCACTCAACCACTGTTTTACTAACTTAACAACTGCAGTGACTCACTTAACAACTGTGGCAAGAAAGGTCGCAAAATGGGGCAAAACTCAACTGCTCACCAAGCAACAGAAATTTGGGGCTCAGTTGTACTTGTAAGTCAAGGACTACCTGGATGTCCAGATGCCTCTGCTTGCTGGAGCTAGGAAGGAGCCACACATCCCTTGACAAAATGTTTTTGGTGCTGGAGGAGAGCAGAAATATAGAATTCTTCCAGCCTTCCAGAGCTCAGAGTCACTTTTGATGGCAAGTAGGGCAGTGTAAGAATAGAATAGAATAGAATAATACTGAATAGAATAGAATAGAATAGAATAGAATAGAATAATAATACAGAATAGAATAATAATACAGAATAGAATAGAATAGAATAATACAGAATAGAATAGAATAGAATAGAATAGAATAGAATAGAATAATAATACAGAATAGAATAATAATACAGAATAGAATAGAATAATACAGAATAGAATAGAATAGAATAGAATAGAATAGAATAATAATACAGAATAGAATAGAATAGAATAGAATAGAATAATAATACAGAATAGAATAATAATACAGAATAGAATAGAATAATACAGAATAGAATAGAATAGAATAATACAGAATAGAATAGAATAGAATAGAATAGAATAGAATAGAATAGAATAGAATAGAATAGAATAGAATAGAATAGAATAGAATAGAATAGTTGGAAGGGATCTTGGAGATCTTCTAGTCCAGACATGTCAAACACAAGGCCCGGGGACCGGATGCAGCCCGCGAAGTGGTTTCATGTGGCCCGTGAAGCCATCCTGGAAACAGTGAGGGAATGGCCCCCGCTGCCTTGGTCCTGGCCCAAGCCGGCTGGGAGCCAATGTAGAATTTGTGGTGGCCATCTATGCTGAAACACATTCATTCTTAGCTCCACAAGGCCATCTTAGCTCCACAAGGCCATCAAGGAACCAGCTCCTGCCGTGTTGCCCCCACCCCCTGGGTGCATGCTGGAGAGGTGTCATCCTTTGAGAGGAATGAAGAAATGCACCATACCTTGGCGCTTGCCCTGGTCCCACCTCCTTCTGCCAGAGACCCTCAGATCTTTCCCACTCCTGCCCAGGCCCCCACAGGCACCCTTGACGCGAACGATTTAGAGCTGGCCATGCCCACCCAGTAGGCCACACCCACTCCATCCATGCCCACCCAGTAGGCCACACCCACCCTGGCTGCACCCACCCAGCCCCCCGAGGGCAACTGCAATGCTGATGCAGCCCTCAATGAAATTGAGTTTGACACCCCTGTTCTAGTCCAACCCACTGCTTCGGCAGGAGACCCTATATTATTTCAGACAAATGTTATCCAATCTGTTCTTGAAAACCTCCAGTATTGGAGCATTCAAAACTTATAGCGGCAAGTTGTTCCATTGACTAATTTTTCTAACTGGCAGGAAATTTCTCCTTAGTTCCAGGTTGCTTCTCACCTTGATTAGTTTCCATCCGTTGCATCTTGTCCTGCCCACGAATGCTTTGGAGATTAGGTTGACCCCCTTTTCTTTGTTTAATAAATAAAGCTGCTTTTTTTTCCCCTCCTCCAGCAACTCAGATGACAATCTTCTGAAGAACATTGAACTCTTTGACAAGCTGTCGCTCCGATTCAACAGGAGGGTTCTTTTCATCAAGGACGTCATCGGAGACGAGATCTGCTGCTGGAGTTTCTTTGGACAGGGACGGAAGCTGGCCGAGGTCTGCTGCACCTCCATTGTTTATGCCACGGAGAAGAAGCAAACAAAGGTATTGGTGATTCCGGGCACTGGGATGGAGATCAGGGCTGACAGTCCTCTGTGAATTGTCTCAGGACTAATAGATAGATAACCTTTATTGCCATTTTTTACTGTTGGCATACTGGCACATATTAAAAATGAAATTTTGTTGCCTGCACCTGAAGGCAGGACAAGAAGCAACGGATGGAAATTAACGGAGAGAAGCAACTTAGAACTAAGGAGAAACTTCCTGTCAGTTAGAACAATTAACCAGTGGAACAACCTGCCTCCAGAAGCAGTGAATTCTCCAACACTGGAAGTTTTTAAGAAGAGACTGGACAGCCATTTGTCTGAAATGATATAGGGTTTCCTGCCTGAGCAGGGGGTTGGACTAGATGACCACCAAGGTCTCTTCGAAGTATTATTATTAATAGTAGTAGTATTAGTGTACCTACATAACATATATATAGACATGCTACATGCATATGTATATACCTACACCCTTACATATAAATACATATAAATATTAATCACTGTCCATCTTGAATACATACCCGTATTTCCCTGAAAATAAGACCTTGTCTTATATTAATTTTTGCTCCCAAAGCCGCATTAGGGCTTATTTTATGCTTAGGTCTTATTTTCAGGGAAATACAGTAGCGTAAAGAGGAAGCTGGAGAGTTCACAAGGCTGAATACCTGAGATACCTGCCATTGTTGGGATGGGAGGGGAAGGGATGTCACTCTCCCAGGCAGACTAGACAGAAAACGTGACCAGATGAGCTAATTTTACCTTATTGTAAGGCTCCCTTAACAGAACCTTGGTAGTTAGAAAGTACAATTCTCCCACTGTCTTTTTTATGGTTTGAGAAGTTAAGGGGGTTCCTTTCTTTGAGTATTTAAAAAGCAACGTGGTGACTGGGTTAATCAAATAATTCAATAGCAAAATGTTTAATGCAAATCTTAGGTTACAACATTAGATATTTTCTCTCTTTTCCCCTTAACATTTACTATCTCGTATTCAAACTAGTACATTTCTAACTATATCAGCTTCATAAAGACATCATTATTACATTTATCAATACATTTTTGGCTTATACATATTTTCATTACATTCATTTCTGTCTGTTATGAAGCTCCTTCCCTCCTTCCGGTGTCTGAGAGTTCCCCAGGCAGCCTTTCTTCCAGTCATACCCCAAGGCCGTTCTTTACATATCGTTAAGGGAAGCATCTTCCAAAAGTTGGAAAAAGTCTTGTGCAGGTAGTCCTCGCCTTACGTCCACAATTGAACCCACAATTTCTGTCGCTAAGCGAGACGGTTGTGAAGTGACTTGGATGTCATGGGCTGCTGTATTTGGTGTGGCCCAAAAAAAAAAAAAAAACCCTCGTGCAGGTAGTCCTTGACTTAACGACCACAATTGAGTCGAAAAGTTCTTTGCTAAGTGAGACATTTGTTAAGTGAATTTTCCCCATTTTTGCAACCCTGTCTTGCCACAGAAAGTGAACCGCAGGCAATCGCTGCAGTGGTTAAGTTAGTGACACAGTTGTTCAGGGAATCTCACTTCCTCATTGGCTTTGCAGGTCGGAAGGTCGCAAAAGGTGATCACGTGATCTTGGGACACTGCCAGTGTGTCATAAATATGAATAAATAGCTGCTTAAGACCTGGCTTTTCCGGCAGGCCTGGGGTTTATAAAATCTGACCCCTGGATGACTGTTATTGTACTGTTTGTTTTGTCATGTTTTATGTTGTTTTTATTGTTAGCCGCCCAGAGTCCTGCGGGAGTGGGGCGGTTTATAAATTTTAAAAATAAAAATAAAAAATAAAATAAAATAAACCAGTTGCCAAGCATCCGAATTTTGATCATATGACCATGGGGATGCTGCAATGGTCTTACGTGTGAAAAACGGTCCTAAGTCACTTTTTTCAGTGCTGTTGTAAGTTCAAACAGTCATAAAACAAATGGTTGTAAGTCAAGGACTGCCTGTACGTCCTCCTCTCCCAAGTGGCTGCAGCCTACTTGTGAAATGACTACCACGGTTGAGCCAGTTAAAAATAGCCATTTTGGAGTGGTGGGGCTGAAAATAAAATCACTGACCCTAAAATCTCAGGGCAGAATCTATCACGGTTACTCTCCCAATGTGCTTTTTTACTGCTCCAGTATCCTTGTCACAGGAGGGATGGTCAGGCCTTCTCTGAAATGAAGATGGCGTTGCAGTGTTTGGCAGAAGGCTTGACCCAGTTGGATGGGAATCCACCAGGAAATTTAACTTTACTTGGAGTTGACGTAGCTTGGCTGGCCGCCCATTTAGATAGATGGAAAGGAGACTGGGCAGATTCTTGGAGGATGTGGCCTACCGGTTGCAGCTGCTCTTGGTTGCGGTTGAATGCATCCTAAATTTTGCAGAGAGCAGATCTTAAATCCAGATATTGGAGACCTTATCGTGCTTTCCATTTCTGACTCACACAGACAGTTGCTATGGTACCTTTCAGTTTATTCAAGGCCAAAGTATAATAGCATGCAAACTAAAAAAAAAAAAAAAACCTCTCAGATGCTTACCTGAATGAACTGCTTTCAAATAGGAGCAAGGAGAATAGTCAGTCCAAAGTTCAGGTGACCCAGGTTGTCGGCCAGTTCACAGGTCAGAGATTCAAGGTTTCTTACATGAACAGGCATGTTACACAAGGGCTTGGAGATCAGATGTTGCTTCCAATAAAGGGAACACGGGTCAGAGCTGCTTGTTAAGTCAGGCTGCAGCCAGCTGTTATGCGTTAAGAAATTTACTCCTTTCCTTGGCAAGGAGCCCTAATAGAAAGATGTTGCTGTATTCTTCGCTCTACTTGCTGGGTGCGTGTCAGCCCTCCAGGTAAATCAGAGAGGAAACAATTCTACTTTATTGTAAGGCTGCATTAACTACAAACTTGCAATTCAGAAGGCAGAAACTTTCTCTCTCTCCCTTTAAGTTCCTGCCTCTCTTGTCTGATTGTTTCCTAACTAGCGATTTTTCCACATTTTCCCAAAGACCATCCACACATCCCACTACAGTGCGAGGTTCTAGGACGCCAGATGCCATGAAAATTATCTGAGTGCTCCAGCTGCTCTTATCTTTGATCAGCCTTGATCAAAGATCAAAATTCTTGATTTTATATCCTGTTGTTGATCCAGTGCATAAAAAAGTCACAGATGCCATCTTGAGGATTTACAGGTCGTCCTTGACTTACGACCGGAATTGAGCCCAACATTTCTGGGGCTAAGCAAAAAAGTTATTGTGAGTTTTGCCCCATATTATGACCTTTCTTGCCACAGTTGTTAAGTGAATCACTGCAGTTGTTAAGTGAGTAACACAGTTGTTAAGTGAATCTGGCTTCCCCACTGATTTGGCTTGTCAGAAGATTGCAAGAGCGATTACATGACCTCGGGACACTGCAACCGTCATAAATGCAAGTGAGTTGCCAAGTGGCTGAATTTCAATTATATGACCACGGGAATGGCACAGCAGTCATCAGTGTGAAAAATGGTTATAAGTCACTTTTTTCAGTGCCATTTTAACTTCAAACAAATGGTTGTAAGTCAAGAACTATCTGTATTTATTTAATTGTTTTGCCTGCCTCCCCTGTGGACATCCTTAATTAGAGGACAATACTGGACGTAATCTATCTGTGCATATGTTCCCCCAAATACCTCTGCTGGTGTAGGAGATAACCAGGCTGAGCCCGAGGGCGGGATCAAACGGGTCATCAGTTTGGAATCCCTATGCTCCCACAAGAGACCTAAATCCCGTCTCCTATGAATTCCATTGACTCTAATCTAGCACCAGTTTGCCTTCACTGTTAGTAGTTCAGATTCTTGTGTATAGATAGCATGAAATAAACTTGTAGTACTTTTGAACCCTATCCTGGCGCCTGGTTTCTTGTGCCTGACAAGTGGCCACTGTGGGGGCTCAGGACTGGCCCAGCTGGGAGCTTGATGGCTTTCAGGCCCCTGATTCTTCTGAGATCTCAGGGTTACAAATGATGGTGTGTATCGGGGGGGGGGGAGGCAGGATGGAACCGCTGCTCCGATTCCCAAAGCTTCATCTTCTTCTTCCTCCAGGTCGAATTCCCTGAGGCCCGCATTTACGAGGAAACGCTTAACATCCTGTTATACGAGACTCCACGGGTGCCTGATAATTCCCTGCTGGAGGCCACAAGCCAAAATCGGAGCCAGGCCTCCCGCGGAGAAGACGAGGACGGCAACTACGAGCCACGCGACCGAGTCAGGCGCATTCACGTCAAGCGATACAGCACCTACGATGACCGGCAGATAGGCCATTAGGGCCCCCGGGGGCCACCCAGAGCTCCTCCTTCCACCTGGGGGGGAGGGCACGTAGCTTCAGCACTGTGGGTCCCCTCGTGGGCCCAAATCTTCCAGGAGGCCAGCTTACATTTCAGCCACACTGCAATATAGTTTGTGAAACTTTACTCCCCGAGGCCAAGTTACAGCTGGGTGGCAACCTTGTGGGTTTGAAGCCATCCCTTGGCGGTTTTGTGTGGAATTTGATGGGCTCCTTTTCTGCCTCGAGACTCTTCCTGAAGACTTCGGTGCTTAAAAACAAAAATCCAGATGCTGAGACCAAAGAATCACACTTAAACACTACATTGCGACGATGAAACACTACCGTTTTGTAGCTCCTGATCCCCTTTCCCTGAGTAGCCATGACACTTTTTTTTCTCCTTTAGCAGAATGTGATTCTTATTATTATTACTATTATTATTTTTTAATTGCCAAAACTAAGAATTGAGAGAACTTCTAATGCCACCTCGGCTAGAATCCTTAGGGCGCAATGTTGCTGGGAATAACTGGAAATCAACTTCATCCTGGAAAAACTTCTGTCCTAGTTCCTGATTCTTACTGACGCGTTTGCGGAGAAATTTGTAGGGAAGGGATGTACCCGGTGTGCATCTTGTACACATAGTCCTCGACTTATAACCACAATCGAGTCCTTGGTTCTCTCTGAGCTGGTCCACTAGTCACTAGCACGGACGAAGTTTGGATAACGAAATGTCTGCAAGAAGACAAGCAAGCTCAGAGAGCACCGAGAACCCTGAACCTACAACTATTCTCCTTGAGCTCAAAATTTCTGTTTGCTAAGCCAGACTGGGGTTGCCTTGTGCTCCATTTTAGGACCTTTCTTGGCACAGTTGTTAAGTCAATCCCTGCAGTTGTTCAGTTAGTCACACAGTTGTTAAGTGAATATGGCTTCCCTCTGGTCTTTGCAGGACATTCATAAGTAGGAGCCAATCACCAAGTGTTAGAATTTTGATCACATGACTAGGGATGCTGCAACGGTTGTGTGAAAAACAATCATAAGTCACTTTTTTCAGTGCCTTCAAGCCGGGGTAGGCAACCTTGGCTCTTTTATGACTCGTGGACTTCAACTCCCAGAATTCCTGAGTCGTGGCTGGCTCAGGAATTCTGGGAGTCGAAGTCCACGAGTCATAAAAGAGCCAAGGTTGCCTAGCCTTGCTTCAAACGGTCCCTAAATGAATGGTGGTTAAGTCGAGGATTACTTGTATTGCCAACAGCTTTGGATCTTGCAGATAACTTGGTATCTGGCTGCCGTTTGAAACCTTTAGGTTCGGGTGGAGGTGAGGATGGCTGAAAGTTAAGCAAACCAAAAGCAGGAAGACCCAATTACCTAGGTCTGTGGACAGAGATGCTTGCTCATTCAGTGATGGGTAACGTGGCCTGGATAAGCTGGAATTTGATTATTCTTCCAGAACTTTTTTATTTTCAATAATCCTCCTTTTGGTTCCCATGGTCTAGTTTGTGGAGAACAATGGGTGGGAGGTCTAAAATTACCCACAGGATAATATTGGGCAAACTCTTATTAGCTACCTGTAGGATACTAGAAGTGGGGTGTTCAATGCTTTGATGCATCTTGGGGGACTTTTCTTCCCTTAATGCTAACCTCTATAAAAGTGCTGGTGTGTTGTAAAGTTAAGGGGTTTGGTGTATCCCAGAAACCCCCTAGGCCAGGGGTAGGCAACCTTGGCTCTTTTATGACTCGTGGACTTCAACTCCCAGAATTCCTGAGTCAGCCATGCTGAGGAGAAATGGAGAGGTTGCCATGCTGGCTCAGGAATTCTGGGAGTTGAAGTCCACAAGTCATAAAAGAGCCAAGGTTGCCTACCCCTGGCCTAGGCCAGTGTTTCTCAATAAGTTATGAGGACTTCATTTCCCAGAATTCTCCAAGCAGCCATGTTGGCTGGGGAATTCTGGGAGCTGATATCTTCATATTCTATAGTAGCTAAGGTTGAGAAGTATTGCCCTGAACCTTAGACCATCATTCCCAACTGGGTGATCTCTGTATGTGTAGATTACAACTCTCACGGTTCCTGGTCACTACATCAAGCTGGTTAAGAATTGTAGTCCCAGGCGGTGGAACAGCCAGTTGTGTAAAGCCAAGCTTTTCAAACAATTCTGGGAAGATGGGAGAAAAAACATGTTATCCTTTGAGATTTAGGAAAGATTGTCAAAAAAATTTTTTTCCTATTATGTCCAGAACTGAGATACAAATTTTGGCTGGCCGGATGTAGATCAGTGGCTTCTGCTTCTCCTGGGGGTAAAGTTTATCATGAATACCAGCAGAGCATCACAGTACTAAAAAAATGTGTCATCTTCTAAAAGGAACTTCCCTATCCAGGAGCAGTATATCTCAGTATCAGATATCAGTAAGGGGAGGATATATCCCCCTTAGTGCCTTTTGGGGGGGGTCCAGTTAAAGACACATTTCTGCTCCAAATACAACTATGGTCTCTCCTAGCTAGAATTTCTATTTGCCAGAGAAAAAATGGAGTGTTTCTATGTTCCTAAAAAGACCAAAAAGCAAAATTGTAAGGAACTGCTTGAAAAGAAGCCCAGTTAAGACTGGTCACAAATGAGTTACCTCTTGTATTCTCTTGCATGAGACTGGATCTCATTGAGATAGTCAATCTTGGAGCATTGGGAAAGCATCCACAATTGGAATATTTCTTCAAAACTTAAATATCCACAGCAGCTAGAAACTCAGCCCAGCATCCAAACAACTTTTCTTCATAATTTTCTAACTTTCAGCTCTTAATCTAGCTCACTCGAGGAGTCTCAACTGCACATAATCCTTCTGCTGAAGACAGATGGCAAACATTTTCCATTCTACAATTCTGGGTAGTTCGCACGTGGGATTGAAACACTGTCAACATTTTTAAAATGTGCAATAAGCTTCTCAGCTTAAAATGCTATTGGTGCAGGCACAATAGCCAAAGGTTGTAAATTAAAGCCACTCAGAATGCTGTATCTTGGTAGGTCATTGGCTGGACAGCTCCCAGCCTTTCTGGAAAAAGATAGTTCTGCTTTTATAAAAGCAGGTTTTTCTTTTAGGCAAAAACAAAAGGTTTGAGCTGGAAACGGGCAGATTAATTCATTAGTTCAACTGGCAGACTTGAATTCATTCAAGTCGGGGGTGTCATCCTTAGACATTGCTCCAGTAGAATTTCCTGGAGCGTAGTTGGCCCAAAATCATGACATATGGATTAATTGCCCCAAGGCTGCTTTTTCAAGAGGCAACTGGACAAGCTTAAAAGGCCTAAAGCAACCTGCTCAAAAGGCAGTAGGAGCTCCTGCCTTTTAACTCCAAAAGTTGCTTTGATTTGCTGTAAAGGATGGATGGATGGATTGAGGATAGATAGGTAGTCCTCAACTTACGACCACAATTGAGTATTTTGCTGAGTGAAAAATTTGTTAAATGGGTTTTGCCCTATTTTACGACCTTTAATGCCACATTTGCTAAGTGAATCGCTGCGGTTGTTAACAACACAGTTAAGTGAATCTGGTTTCCCCATTGACTTTGCTTGCCAGAAGGTCGCAAAAGGGGATCACTTGACTCCAGGACACTGCAACCGTCATAAATGTGAGTCTGTTGTCAAATATCTGTCAACCATGGGGATGCTGTAACGGTAATAAGTGTGGAAAACAGCGATGTCACTTTTTTCAGTGCCCTTATAACTTTGAATGGTCACTAAATGAACTGTTGTAAGTTGAAAACCACTTGTATAAGAGTCCTTGAAGAGTTGAATTGGGCAGCCTTACAGATTTAATTAAACAAATAACCCTTTACCATGGATCAAAATATAATCTTGGCCTTAATTACACTTACTGATTTACTGATTGATTTACGTATTGATTTATTTCACTAAATGCAGTTATAGCCTGCCCACTCTAGCCGACACAGGGCAGCTTACAAAATACAGTACTAAACTGAAACCAATTAAAAACAGACATAACCAAACAGCTGTATTTGTAAGTCACACACACACACACACACACCCCGACCTCCAGTAAAGCCCTAGGCTGAATATGGATTAAAATTTTAAAAGTCATTACAATGAGCAAAAGCATACAAAAGGAAAAGATGATCAAACAGAGAGACAACAGGTATAGTAAAAGACACCCCTTGCTGCATATTTTAGCCCCACGACTCTGGAAGAAGCTAAAAAAGCTGGCTGGGGGCTCTTTGGGTCCAGAGGGCAAGGGCTATGCCAGAGAAGATGCACCTTCTGGATCCCATTGAATGGCATGGCTTCATAGGATGGATTTGCAGTGTGAAAACTGCCTGATTTTACAGGATGGGCTGTCATCCCAAGGGGTCCTCCTTAATATGGAGCCAAGCTGGGAAATGTCCATCTGGCACAGTGTTTCTCAACCTGTGGGTCGGGACCCCATTTGGGGTCGAACGACCATTTCACGGGGGGTCGCCAAACAACGCAGTCCGCCATTTTTTTCCCCTTTTCCTTAGCTGTGCTACTCCCTTTTATTCTATTGGCTTTTGAAAGCCAATAGAATAGACTCTCTTGAATAGAGTCTAATTCTATTGGCTTTCAAAAGCCAATAGGAATTGTCCAGGCTGTCTCTGCCCTGCTGAGCCCGCCAAAAGTCCCATTCTGCAAACGGTGCTGCACCAGTTGAGTAGTCCTCGACTTACGACCGGTTGAGTAGTCCTCGACTTACGATCGGTTGGGGGTCGCGGCATTAAAAAGGTTGAGAACCACTGATCTAGCATGACATGATAGCAGTCTTCCAATGTTTGAGGGGCTGTCACAGAGAAGAGGGGTCAACCTATTCTCCAAAGCACCTGAGGGCAGGACAAGAAGCAACGGATGAAAACTTTTATCAAGGAGAGAAGCTACCTAGAACCAAGGAGAAATTCTCTGACAGTGGGAACAATCAGAGATCCAGCTTGCTTCCAGAAGTTGTGGGTGTTCCAACACTGGAATTTCAAAAGAAGAGATTGGACAACCATTTGTTTGGAATGGTATAGGTTTCCTGCCTGAGCAGGGGGTTGGACTAGAAGACCTCCAACGTCCCTTCCAACTCTCTGATTCTCTCCGCGCTTGGCATAGAAGATATGAATTTAGCATTATTATTCCAACATTAGAAGCCTCTCACATTCACTCGCTCACTGGGTCCATACATAATAGTGGAAGCTCCTTGTGGCTAGTGAAACCACAAAAGGCTGTGGAGCTGTGCTTAGAGGGATTGCTGAGATCATCTTTCATGGAAAAGAAGATGGAAGCTCAATCTTGTCTTCTCTCCAGCTGCCTTTTTAAAGCAGTATTGGATTACCTTACATGAACTGCTAGGACCCTTAGCACCTTCCATCAGCTTTTAATGATCGCTCATCTAATAGTCTAGTTAGTTATCAAGGAACATACTCTTGCATTTTCATCTGTTCCAGATCTCTTTCCCAGCAAGTACAACGATTCGGTCCTTTAGTATCCAGCTAAAGAATATTACCCTCAAAAAATAAGGTTGCTTCTAAGAAACTCGATTGCCTTTGAAATAGATTTGT